TTCCACACTAGATCTATCCTTTCAATGCCTCCTCCACTCACCACAATTTCAATTTTGGTAATGCAACTTGGCCAAAACCCAGCTAACCGCAAAACCCACTTACACTATGCTTTATGTGCAAATTATACAGTTTTCTTGCAATTCTCTTTATTATTGTGGTTACATTTTTTTATTATTTTTTTTTATTTTGCTCAACACTTGACTGCATGGATAGGTTTTTTTTTTTCGTATTTTTCGTATTTAGACTAGTATGCGAGGCAATAAAAATAAATTGCCCCAAACAAAACTCGCCGAACAAACAAACAAAGTCGTGTTAATGACGTGTTGTAAGAATTTTTCGGGCCAATATTTATTTAAGCCATACCATTTAAGCCAATTCAATGCCAAAGCAGGGTATAATGCGAGTTACTGTACCCTGTAGTTAAACAATGGAGTAAAATTAAGGTATATATAATGGTTGTGTCTAAGAGTTAGTTTCTATTAGACAATACACTGAGAAGATACTTTTAAATGACAGATCAATTGTTTGTAGACAGCTTGAGTAGCTCTAAGAGTAATAATAATAATTACCTACAGGGTATCTGCAAGTCGCGCACTTTCAACGTTTACGCTCCTGTCATAGGCTGATTGTCTCGTCTCGATGAAAGTGAAAACATTTTCAACAAAAATATAATAAATATCTCAAGTTAAATTATAATAATTTATGCATTGCATATTTACTTAGCTTGTGACTTTTGTTCTTGTCTCTTAGTCACACAAGTCACAAGATTGAATGAGAAATATATAGTTCACATGCAGATATTTATATAAGGTATAAAAGTGCTGAGAACGTGATTGATGTGCGGCAGTATTTGGTGACAGCCTATAGATAAATGTCTGTCTATTTGAAATGCAAACAACACGATATTAAGATGCAGCCAAAGTATGGATATTGTCGTTGCCAAGTGTAAAATATATATGCTTATGCACCAAATATATGTATATATATATATATACAAATGCATTTGTATTTAAGGAGCTCTGTTTCTGTTCACTCTCACGGCAATTGTCGATTTCAATGCAATGCGTTGTCATTGCGGGTCATACGAAAAAAAAAAAACACTCACGTGTTTACAAAACAATTAATTTTCTTTGGAAAAACAAGAAAAGCAGCAAACTATCGTAAGGCCGACTAAAGGGGGGGTATAACGAAAAGAAGAAGAAAAAAATGAAAAAGATACCGAAACATAACTCAAACAAAAGGCAACAGCACAAATGCACTAATCGTTGTGCACTTCATTTGTATAGAAACAAATACAACAACAACAACAGCAACAACAACATGAACAACCAGAAGAGCTGCAGATACTTGAGAGCTCACCGTTCGATACTTGCCCAGCAATACGAGTATTTAGAAAGCATCGGAAACACAGAAGAACCCTGAAGTAGGAAAATGAGGAAAAAGAAAAATAAGGAAAAAGTGCAGCGCGCTTTTGTGTAATCGATTTGAACCGGAAGCAATTGGGCCGACGCGTCGCTGCTGCGGCTGCTGCGGCTGCTGCGGCTGCTGCCGCCGCAATCCTCTCGAGAAATTCAACTATTTTAAATATTTAGTGCACGAGACAAGCGAGGGCAAAGCCACAGACACAGTCACAGTCCCAGCCACAGGCAAGCAGATCACATGTGTCCGCCTAGCTGCTAACTACAAAGCAAATATCATTGGCTGAGCTATTGACAAGTGTATCTGAAAGATATATTTTTTTTTTCGAGATTTGTGCGCGTTCACTTCAAGCTTTTATGTGAGGAGAAATGCAAATCAAAGCGTTGCAAGAAGTAACTGCTAATAGCATCTTTACCATAAGAAATGTATGCTAATTTCGAATAGCTATTTAATATGTATCTACAGCTTTAAAAAGTATATACACACACTCAGCCGCGCATAGAAGTATCTACGAGGGCATAAGGGTTATCTAAATGTATCGGTCAGCTCCTGAGTTGTCACTGAAAACTTCTGCAAGACAACAGTTGCCTTTCCCTAGATATCTGTTAAATATGTATCTACTGCTCTATTAAGTAATCGGAAACTATCTGTAAGCACAAGCTTCAGGCAAACCCAAAAGTATCTTAATGCTTTAAAGATGCCAGCAAAAGAAACCACTAATCAAAACAAATCAGAATTATTCGATAAGTACATCTATCTACTAAAAATCAGTAAGTATTTATGCTTCTAAAAGCCGACAGTAAATAACTGCATATTTGAAATATTAACAAATGTATCTGAGTCTCCATAAAGCTTGAAGCAACAACAATTAATATGGAAATGCAAAAGAATTATAGAGACTCCCACACAATTTCGCACATTTATTGTAGACTAATTAAAAGTCACGCACTTTACGCGCGAAATTAAAAAAAATATAAATAAAAAAAAAAGAGCTGACAAAAAATCAAAGACAACGCGACGTATTAGTAATGTGAAAAGAGACAGCAACAACTACAATTACGTTTGGGATATTTTTAAAATGCGTCAAACAACTAAAAAAAATAAAAATAAAATAAAAGCTAAAAATGTGTAGAAAATGTGCGACAATTTTCTTGGATTTCTTTTGTCTTTTTTTAGGGGCTACGATTTGTACCTCAAGTTTTGTGTGCGTGTGCGTGTGTGTGTGTGTGTGTTGGTGTTGGTGTTGCCAAATGTGTGCCGCACATTATGTGGTCTAGTGTTCACGCTTCGTTAATGCAATATAACAGAAACAAAAAAATAAAGAAGAAAACTGCATTTTTTGTGCTGCCAACTCCCCGCCGCTCTACTGTGGCTGCCCCCGCTGCTGGTGCCAAGGGGCGACACTTTTTGCGCCACTTTCAGCTAAGTACTTTACACTATTTACGCACATGGCCATAAAACTTTGCGTGCGATAAGCACTATCTGCCCAACACCTCCTACCCCGACACCACCAACTCTTTGATGGTATATAATGGGCTGTATTTTATGCTGTTTTTGTTGTTATTGTTGCTATTGTTGTTATTGTTTTTTTGCATAGAATTTGTAGGCCTATCAATCAAGCGCGCAGCGCGTACACGAATTGTGTCAAAGTGCAGATGAGAATGCGGTTGCCTAACCGCGTCATGAAAATTAACAACAAATGGAATTTCATTCTACAAATATAGTAAATTCGAATAGTCCTATAAATATTTCGTGCTTGATAATCGTGCAGCTTTTACGACAGCAGCCCAGAAAACACGCTACTCTCTGAGGTATAATGAATGAGTTTTGTTTTACGACTGACTAAATGGAATTTGGTTTATTTAATGGCCGTATCAGCATTTAAAGTCCAATACAATTTCTTAAATATTTGATACAACTACAATTATTTAGAGTTCTTAGTTTTGTTGTTCGCCCTTTTGACTCCGAAGTTAGCGTTGACGTAACGCTCAATTGTAATACTCTTCGTTTTTTTTCAAACTATAATTAAGCATAGAAAACGGCTTGCAATCGCATAATTTATCCTGTAAGGATTAGAAGAGGTCGTTATCGCTATCGTTATCGTAATTAAAAAAAAACAACAACCACAACAAGCTCAACATATCGAGCATTATATAATTTGAAATACACCGAACTTTGATTATTATACCCAATCTTATCGATATCTGTCTAATGCTTGTGATCTTTGTAGTATATATGTACATATCATGTGATTAGCAGTTGTTGAACCCGACGCGCGCACACAGCCGCAGCCCGCTTGACGTAACAAATAACGCAAATTCGCGTGCGGACGCACACACACAGATACAGATAGAATTGCAAAAAAAAAAAAAAACAATACAGCCACAGATACAAATACACGGCGTCAGTTGAGCTTAGATAACTAGCAACTGTTAGATAACAGCAGCCGACAATTTTTTAGGACACAAGAATAAAAAGGTGAATAAGATAAAAGGAAAGGTTTTGCAAATCGCTTGCGATTAGAAACGCGTTTGTTCCGATACGCGTTCTATAAGATACGCATGCCGGCACACGCAAACAGATACACAGCCATAGTCGAGATAGGAAGATTTCGCAAAAAAAAAAAACTATACTATAAATAAGCCAATGAGAGCTGCGCAACGCACATTGAATTTTATTTAATAGAAATTTCGCTTTCATCAACGAGCCTGTCAGAAGGTTGCCAAATTACTAAGAAGAAAAAGTTAAGTAAATAAATAAATGAATTTATTTTGTTTATCCAAATAAACAGAAAATTACTGCGTATGCACATATTTGTTGACTTTTGAAAGTGAAAAAAAACACACACACACACATCAACAAATTAAAATAGTATTAAACAAAATGCATGTAGTATTGCAATTAATCGAACGATTAAGCCCTTAGTTTTAATATTTGTTTTGCTTGGCAGGCGTTGAAATCGAATCAAAATATTAAATAAATTTGATTACAATTAGCAGGTAGCTAATAGAAAATGTGCTTTTGCCAATTTTATACACTATATTATTATTTGTTTAGCGGTAGCGAGTGTTAACCCAAAAAAGGCATTGACTTTTGCCTGATATCTATGATGAAATGGAAAAGTATAGTTGATAGCTGGCAAATGAAAATTGTTGATCAATTTTCATTTTTTTTTTTAAATTTTTATAAATTTTAAAAAATGTATATATTATTTTCTTCGTTCGGCTGGCTGCCAAGTATAAAGTATTTCAATTTGTTTAAATGTCAAAATTTGTTTGGCATATATAAAAGAACACATTCGTGTCCGTAAATTCTTAAAGTGCATAGCTTAATCCAGACAATTTTTCTTTGAAAGCTATTAAACCACTAATTAGACACTTAAAATTTAGCCAATCGTTGGCAAAAATGGAAAATTTTTGAAAATTCTTTTTAAACAAAAACTCAAACCTTCAGCAAAGCTAATAATAATGTTTTTAAGCAGCAGCACAAATAATATTTGCAATTTTCGCTAGAAAAGAAAAAACCAACTTGAAACTTATGTAACGACATTTTTTTTTCTGACAAACTAAAATTTACGCACCTTTTACGATTTGAATTTTTTTTTTTAGTAATTTTCCTGCAGACGCTTGTGCTTTTTTCCTAAATCTTTTTACTTTGGGCTGCACTTTGGCACACTTTAAAAAATTTGCACAAATTTGTTGCAGCAACAATTCAACATTTTCGTGTTTTGCACTTTAACACAGCACTTGATTTTATTTATTATTATTATTTATTTTTCTTTTTGTGAATTATTTGTGGCTATTCTTTTTGTATGGTTTGACACGTTTCTTGCCAATTTAATTTTTAACGATTCTTTTATTTTCGATTTTTACAAGCACAAAATTTGTTTGGCAAATTGTGGAAAATGTGTGAGAATTGCGTGAGCAACGACGTCAACGGCGCCGATTTCGAAACAAATGACGAACATTGACCGGCAAGGCCCGCTCTTAAGATGCTCTACAGATAATATTTAGTTGTTGCTTAATGTTAGCACCATTTGCACAATTCTTTTATTTTTCTATATCGCCTCTAGCTATTAGTTTTCACAAGGTTTCCTAGGGGCGAATACTATGTGAAAGAAAAGACCGGAACAACGATTTCAAAAACGACAAAAAACACGATCGACGCGACGCGACGCTACGACAACGTCCTCTACCAAAGAAAGAAAAACAGTTCGATTTCGTAAAAAATGAAAATTCTGCCGACGGCACTATCAGCGGACCCTCCGCTCAGTGTGTGTTGTCAAATGGGTTGCCAGCGAGTGACTAAAAGTAAGATTTCATTCAAACGTACGCCACTCGGCGCTCAGCTCTGCTGCGTCGCTCGTGTGTGCTTCGGGTCTGACGTTCGGGCTCTTTGCGGTCAGCCGTTTTGGCACTAGGGCTGTGGAGTTGTATCCCCAGGCATTAGCCAGGAAGCATATCTGAAGCATATCTGATAAGCTATTCATGACGTACATTCCATTCTAGTCATATGTAACTATTATTCTGGAAATTCATATTTGTATATCGTTGTAGACCTGAGTGTTTACCCTTTTCTGGTTTAAAGAACCCAACAATATATATATTTGTAAGAAATTTATATTTGCTTTGGAATAAGCTGGGGAATGAAATTCTCTTGAATTTTGGAGTAACTTTTTAGAGTGCCATGCATTTTAGATACCTAAATGCGACATTTTAATATTTTGAATATTTATTTACTTGACCTTTAAATAGCATTCAGGGATCCAGTTCAACTTCAGATATAGTTGGTTCTTTTAGAAAAGAAGTTCCAGTCAATTCGAGTAAAGAACGGAACTGGTTCCGAATGTTGCGTCAAAACCTATATTGTATTTTCGTCAATAAATAACAGTTTTATGAGTTGTTAAAATAAAATACATTTTTTATGTACTTTTAAACAAAAAATATAGCTTAACTTATTGATATTGTTTTAGTTCTATTTAACAAAACTGGGTCTTAAAATGTTAAAAGTTGAACCACTCTATCGTTGGATTTTATCGTATGAGGTTATTTTTTTATATCATAAGGCAAATATGTTGGATGTTTCCCAGCTCCATAATTTGCCGCATTTCCTTGTTACGTATTTGAACTAAAGCGTTGAACACATGACGCGCGTTTTGCGCGCGTTTTTGTAGCGTTTTTGGAGATTACAGTGCTTGGCGCTGGCGTTTGTGCCTTTTGGCGCGTAGACCCCATTTTTGTTTTGGTTTTTTTTTTTTGTTGCTGATTTCACAAGTGCACAAATACCAATTAACATTTGCCCAAAGTGCAGCTGACATGGAATAAAAATACAAAAACCAAAATGTAACGGATACAATCGACTGCGTTATACTCGTTCACAGTCCAGTAAAGCACCTTAATCGGCAAATTAATTAAGAAAAATTAATTAATACGCCCCCAGCGAGCGTGGGCAAACTTTTTGGTTCGATCATTAGAGCAGCTCAACAGTAGACTTCCTGCCAAATATGGCTCTTAAAGTGTGGTAGATATTTTCGCGGCTTGAACGTCGTCCAGTGGACAGAGCCCAAAAATTATAACACTTTCTCGGAAACGGAAATACGCATATATATTCCAAATTTCAAGACTCTTACCTTAAACGAACTTAACAAAATTGCGTTGATACGGTCGGATCGAAAGCCGGGCAAGCATTGCTCCAATCCAATATACCCTTGTCATCGCACACGTGAACGTGTATAAGAAATGACGCACACAACGCGTTTGGGGATACACCAGCAAAGGGGGAAAGTATTACCTATTTTTATTAACTGGGCCAAAGGAGAGGTGCTCCATTATTGTCTCCGATAAGCGTTTGAATATCGCGGGGGCGTTTCCATTCGATAGACTGTGACGTTGGGTCATCATAAAAAAAAATGTACATATATATATAACGAGCCCATTTCGTATACGTTCTACACTCGCAACTAAACGATAAGTCATAAAATTTATTTTTGGCAATCAACAATGCAGTCTAATTATAAGAATTTTGGCCAACAGCTGCTTGGACGCAACTAAATCCCGGAATGCCAAACTGCCAGCTGTTAAATGCAGCAAGCCTGTTAAATATGGAACAAAAAAAGCTCAACTTTTCAACTTATGTTATTTATCTTATCTTTTTGAGTGGGAACACTTATGAAAATCACATGCCCCACACAAAAAGGTAGGCGCTGTGTACATTGAACTTGACTACTAGTTTGGCCAAATATAACAAGCCATTTCCTTGGGGTAGATGTCCGCGTCACGGTAACTGATAAGAATATTGCAGAGATTTTGTGATAGGATAATTTAAATATTATCTTACGAATCGATGGGTAACACGGTAAAGGAATTTACGTAGAACTAGTCAAAATTATTATTATTTAATTTATTTTTAATATGCATTTTAGTACGTATATAAGCATGTATGTGTGTATGTGTGTCTGCTAGTATGTGTGTATTTGTATATATGACCAAGTTGACTTTTTCTATCTTTCGGTATGTATGTATTTATGTTTGTAATTATGTTGGTATGTACTTAAGTATGTTACATACATATGTATGCATGTATGTATGTATGTATGTATGTATGTGTGCTTGTATATATGCATGTATGACTATGTATGTATGTGTGTATGTATGTATGTATATTTGTATGTATGTATGTATGTGTGTATATATGTATGCATGTGTATGTATGTATGTGTGTATGTATGTATGCATGTGTATGCAATTAGGTCTATGGTATTTGTATATATGACCAAGTTCCGTTTCTGCTGCGCTGCTGTTCTAAAGAACATAATTATTAATATTGCCCTTCTATGCAATTCTCATTAGTTCAAGCAAGGTTAAGAGGATTTCAAGCGTAGACTATTAGTGTTTTATATCTTGGTTTTGGTATGTATGTATGTTCGTATATATGCAGGTATGTATGTATGTACATACATATATGTGCGAGTGTACTTACGTATGAACCAGTTTCGTTTCTGCTGCAAATTTAAAACTCATTTTTAAATATCACCCTACTATGCGATTCTAATGATGAGTGATATAAGCCAAAAAGTCTTGAAAGCCTAAGTAACTTTATATCTGCCCATCCTCTCACTATAATTTACACTTCCTTTCTTTCATTTTATACCACCTTCTTTCTTCTGCTCTGACTATAATCCGCTCTTCTCTTTTTTTTCTTCGTTGTATAAATAAATAAAAAGGCCATCCCTCTCCTACTAATAGATGGCAAGTAGTAAGTACATATTTGAATACATTGATATATTTATATATGTATAAGTGAAAACGTATGTCATACTACTTTCCACCAAAATAAATTCCTAATCTAAGTTATTCCCTCAACTATTTCGCCCAAAGGGAACAGCGCTTAAGCTCTGCTCTGTTTTAAAAACATAGTTTCTGAAACACATTCCATTCTGTGTTAATGCTAAGTGCAGCTCGCAACCCCATTTTGGATAGAACCCAAACCAGAAACCACATTTGGAAAATATGTGCCCAACATTTTAGTCGCTGCCAGCGCATGCCAAATGTCAAGACCCAGCCCCAGCGTTGACCTATAAATAACTAAAGACAAAATGCGTTCCCCCCCCGCAGGTTTTTTTTGGGCACGATTCCTGCAGCGGACGACTGTTGCACGCTTTGTCCTTGACTCTGCCCTGCCACGCACACAATTAAAATGATTAATTAAGGCGCAGGGCAGCAGGACATTTTACGGCTAATGACTTAATTAAGGCTCGAGCGCTGTTGAGTGTTTCGGCTTAATGTGCTCGCCTCAACAGCCGCCGACCTTTGACCATTTTTCCGTGTAATTTCCTAGCCGCTTGCCAAGATGTTGGTTTAATTAAAGCGTAGCCAGAGCAAGTGGCTAGATATATGTGTTTCCCGAGCCGATCCTCCTGCTGCTACTACCTCAGGCTGAGTACCAAATGAACTGCTGCCGGGCAGCTGCTCCGATACGCCCCCCCCCTCCCCCTCTCCACGGAGCCTGTCACATTATTAAACGCTTCGCTGGCTGATCCTGACAAACGTGACTGCCTATTTTACACCTTGTTTAAGAGCAATCGCACGCGTTTCTTGCGCGTTTATTATCGCTAGCGGCCGCTCTCAATCCATGTTCAAGGCTGCGCGAGTTTCCTTCCTACTTGTAAGCTGTCGATTTGTTTTGCTGTTGTGCAGCTCGCCTTTTGACCAGATCCACATCGGTCCGATTGTCCCAGATTAAATTACAAAATATATTGTCATGTACATTGTCATGATATGATAGTTGATATGTAACTGCAGATTTCTACCCTGTACAAGCGAATGAGCAAGGTATCATAAGGTTGTGCAAATATGTGTTGCATGCAGAAGCAGACTGTTATGTCTAAGTAAAGATCCACACTTATAGCTGAGACTGAGTGCTGCCCAAGGAAGTATTTGAACAAGAACTACCTTGTTTCCTGTGTCAGTTGGTTTAAACTCTTAAAGGCCACAAGGTCAGTTGGTATATTTTTTCTTTCGCATGTTTTCTATAAGCATTGCAAATTTGAAAGGAATCAGCTTTTGCTGGCTACATTTCAAATTTGATATTGTAGGTCCTTTAAGGAAATTATTTTAAATTATGAAAATATGTTTATGATCTATCTATCTATCTTCGGCTTCTTCAGATCTGTTTACAGGGTAACTACCACTCGTGAATTCTCGCCTGCTGCCAACCCTTTTGTTTTGCCTTGATTAAGCACGATAACAATTGATATCTTTGTCGCCATTCCAATCAAATGCGCATTCCGCCAATTAACTGATTTAGCTGAACAATTTCGTCATAATACATTAGCGGGTATTAATTTTTCATCATCATCGTCTAGTATAAGTGCACCATAACGCAGCTAGAGATAATTTATGTTAATAAAATTGTAACCGCCGCCTGTCAGCAAATGGCGACAAAGACAGCAAACATTTAACCAGCAGGCAGACAATTCAAATCGAATCGAATCAATTACAACTTGTGCCGCTAATGTAATATCCATTGCTGTCTTTTGTTCTTAGCCAACTGACTGACTGATTAATTTGAACAACTTGCAAGATAAATAACTGTGCGCAATACATATAATTCTTAACCCATTGCAAGCTATTGCCCCGAAAGAAAGCCTAACCATAGTCGAGCAACTCAACTGAAATCATTAGCATTAAAATTGTTACTTATATAGTTAAATATTATAAAAAAGACACTAACAGATTGATAAGTCGGCTCGCTCAGATAGTTTATCTGTTAGGACCTGTATGTTTATTGTTTCAATTATTCAAGAATTTTTCTAAAGGAACATAAGGAAGATATATTTGACCTTCAGCTTATCGGGGACTGAGCCTAATAGCTCGTTGCCCCACAATTCATCAGGCCGATAAATAATATAACTATAGCAGTTTTTCAAATGATTGCCCGATTTATTATTGCTGTTCTGACAATGAGAAAACTATTTTCCGGCACATTTAAAAAACAAAAATCTTGAAATTCTTAAACAAAAATACGTTTTTCCTAGATTCCATAAAATTGACTCAGAACAAATCCAAGCACACATTTCCTAGAGCTCAATGCGAATGCGTCAACGGCAATTGTGGGATAAATGTTGAGCGTTGCGATTAATTTAGCTACGAATATGCAAATTTGAATGGACTCTCGTCGGATCTGTCGTCGCAGCGGTCGCCAGTTGGTCGCCAGTTGGAGTGCCCCAAGCTGGGTGATCGATTATGCTGGAAGTGATTGCAACAGTTGCTAATCATAATAATAATTGATTTGTAAATATTTTGATTTCGATTGCAATGCTAATCAAAGTGCAACCGGACTGAAAAATTATACATACATACGTAGATATAAGATCAAGGCGGCAGCTCTTATATATACATAAATCAAAATATTGTGCAGATGCAAGGTATAACAAGCTTAAACCACAGTCCTATCGATTAAGGCGGTGGGTGTGGCAATTCGCGTGTATAAATGTAAAATAAAAAAAAAGTGAAGAAAATGCGTTGTATATTCAATGCCTAACAACACAGCAGCAAAATTGTCAGTTACCTTAGTTTTTATTCAAAAATTTGCCTCCAAATGTCACTGAGCCATGAGATATTTGCCCAGCAATTGCGACAGCTCCAAGTTAGGGATTGGCGGTAACTATAGCCTCTCTTTACGGATCTGCCAGATATTGCTGATAAATGACGACCCATAGCCGAAACTACGCTGCTGCACGGAGACGTCGCAATCGCCGGGATTATCTAGGTCCAGATGAACGCTATCCTGGCGGGCAGGAGCCACAGCATTGCAACAGCAACAGTAATTGTGTTGTGCCCCTTCTGCACATCTGGTTGCGACTGCACTTGCTCTCGCCCCACTCAACGTCGAGTAGCCAGCTGCGCGATGTTCATCGTCTTCGGCTGGAACAGCGCCCGCTGCTGCAGAATCTGCGCCAGATCGTCTCAATGCTTTGGAAAAGATTCTGTCGCATGGCGTTCCCAGTGTCCGGAGTCGCTGATACTGCACGGCACGGGATGATGCGCAATCCAACGCGGGCTGTGCAGAGCCAGCGAGAGAGTTGGATACAGTACTTGGTCAAGATCTTTAAGTCGGTATATATTGAAAACTAAACCCACACAAAAGCCTACTTTCTCTACTCTCGATACGTGTGTCAGTTAATTTAGTTGTCGATAGCTATCGATCATTTGTTTATTTATAACATACATTTAATTGGATGGAGCTATTCCAAAATGAATCTAGGCTCAGATACTATATGTCCGCATAGTATTCTCAGATTTCATCGATCTATCGATAAGCTTTTAAAAGTTTGTCATAATACACATTTTTATAGTGCTCATAGCTGGGAGATTTTAAGACTTCCAGGAGAGGTTAGAAAGCACCTTGGTCAATCGATAAGCTATCGATAGTTATCGACTTAAACAACAAAAAGAGCTGAGATTATGCGAAAAGAGCTTGCTTTCCATATAGCAACATACTCTCTTTTGATGTGACTGCCGATAAGCTATCGATAATTATCGATAATACACATTTCCAATAGCCTAGAATTATAAACATTTTCTTCTATATATTTTACCCTTAAAGATATCAAAGAAATTGGAACTAGCACTCGTCCCTTCGGGACGTAAGCTCACCTATGAGAATACATCGGCAGCCATGGAATTAATGAACATAAGCGTTATTTCCGAGCAACTGAACTCTCTTCTCATTGATTATATGGTTAACAACGATGTGTATTTGATGGACCAATCCCGAACAGCGCTTGGCGTACTTGATTAGAAACCGACTAACATCTCCAGATTTTTTATTCTATTTGTAGTGTTGTAAAACGCTCGCAATAAACCAAATTGAGCAGCCACCAACTGGTTTTCAGCCAGACTTAATTCTAATTTAGTAGACTTATCACGCCCCTGGGCGTTTGCCAGTCCATAAACTGCGCATAAAATCGTTAGTTTGGCTAAAATCAAGATTTTCAAGCCAATATCTTGGCCATTGATTGATGGAATCGCCGCTTGAAAGTGGTTTAGCCAGTTGCAGGGACTTGGACTTGGTTGCTGGTTCTATACAAATTTATGAATGCATTTAAAACCATTTTTCTATGAACGCAACAGGTGCGTTAGAATTTATGGTAAACTTGATACGATTTTTGACCCATTTAAGTTAAGCAGATGCGAGTGATTCACTTGATGAGGCAACCGGCGCCTGTCGCCAGCTTCTCTCAGCCACATGAATGTCATCATCAACTGGCCAAAATGAAAACTTATGCGTTCGACACATGCAACATGGCAATCCAAATGCGAATCCATTCGCTGCATTCCATGGCGCGGGTGCTTCCCACATGACGACAACGACGACAGCTAAATGAATCTCATTTAATTTGGCAAAATATTTATGCATTCCGCATTGGCATTGATTTCTTTGGCTTTGGGCTAACAATTTCGTTTGCGTTTGCGGCACGCCCAAAATGTGCCTGCCCCTAATTTATGAGCGTTATGAATCAAAGAAATCTGTCACACAACTTTATGACACTTTTTTTCCGAACGTTTTTTTTATTTTATTTTTTGTTGTTGTTTTCAACTTGTTGCTGGCTGACATTTTAATTTGGCAGCCATCGATGGCAATTTAATAAATTAGGCGCTTGAGTTTTAATGGGATCGCATGGTCTGGCCAGTGTTGAGCAATTTATGGGCGGCAAGTGAAGGGCACCTTCACACACTGGCCAGCCAAATGGGAACCTTGAACCACGAATCCGTTGAAGCTGATGTTTGGATTGAACAAAGGGACCTAAGAAGAGATTTGCTTCAAAGGATATAAACCAATTTTTAAATAGATTTATTATCAAATGCAACAAATTCTAAAGAGCTAACAAGTTTTAAAATAGACTTTAATGAATGAACAGTTCTTTCCGATAAAGAAAGCCGTTCTTCGACTAAATCTAAATACAGAGCTAAAATGTATATTAACCTGCTATATTTTAAAAAATAATGTTTACGTTTTGTGACGGAATTTCATTATTTATTTGGCTTCTTTTCAACTTATTTAAATAATTTGAAATATATGCGCTTTTAAAATACAATTTAAATTTTGTACTAATACATAAAAATAACCAAGGTTTTTTTTTCATTTTTCATTTTATAAAAGATTAAAAATCTAAACAGCGCACAGTAATTTTTTTGTAATTTTATGAATTTTTTCATTTTATTTGTATATTTAAAATATTTTAGAAATATTTATCACTTGAATCATTTCCCAAATATTTCAACTATTTGTTTGGCCTAAGTTCTTAAATTTCTCTTTTCATACAAAATTCCTAAGCTCAGACGCATTTCAGCTTTCATCTTATCTATGTTAGCTCCTTGTCTTGTAACGATTCCCAGGCATTGGCCGTGCAGCAGGCAGACACCTGTCTAATGATGGGGCATGTTGCATCTGAGAAACTCTTGAAGCTTTAATGTGAGCAATTTTTATTGTGGGGCTGCAACGAAATCGATATCAATATCGCGGCTATTAACCAAATCAGTGGAACGGCTATCGCGCGATAGACAACAATTTATGGAACTTGCCAGCAATAACAATTAATAAAATTAGAAGAAATCAAAAAAAAAAAAGAAAAATTAAAAAAAAAAATAAGATACAGCGCAGGCAGCTCTGGTGGCCAATGGGGCATTGGTGGCTCGGGTTACGGCGATATCAAAACTTAATCACGAGACAAAGAGAGGCATTGAGGATTGAGAATTCTGGAGTTCTGTGTTTGTTTTTCTTCATCTTTATATTTGGGATGCTGCATGCGTCTAGCGCCAGTCGTAAAGAGCTGCAAACCGGCCCGCGGAACCGTTAAGACAACCAGCCTGAATTACTATAGAGAGTCGGTTTAGAGTCTGGGAGAGTCTAGAGTCTAGAGTCTAGACTGTAATCCTTTGGAGATCTTGTTGTGCGATAAACTCGGCTCTGCGTCTGATTAGTGTGGCCTAATGTGACAGCCAAGCGACGTGTTGCAGATGCCTGGTCGCGCGTTCCCTAACTGTAGTTTTTTGACTGATGTAATTGGAGCGGCGGCCAAGCATTGTTGACCAGCCCGGCCGGCCGCATAAATCAAGGTGCAACAACATGTTAGATGCCGGCCGACGCGGCCAACTTGTTGAACAGGCCCAACCGTGAAAACCGGCTGCTGTTGCTGTTGGCGCCCCCAACAAAAGAATACCCCAGTTGTCCTTAGGTAATGTGTTAGCGTTAGCGTGCTTGACACCCTTTCTATACCCTGTACGTGGTCAAAATAGGTAAAAGTAGAATGACTTGCAACTTTGCATATACATGTAAACATACAGCTTACTGAATGGATGGATTCCTTATACGTAGAAAAAGTCGAAAAAATTTTGTTGATGAATATTGGAGACACCGCCCTGATGTTAGGTTTGTGAATACATATGAATGCTATCTTAAAACTCTGTAAACTTCTGTATGTTTAGACATTAAACATAAAAGTTATTAAAGAATGAAAAAAGGTTGACGGAGGAAATCGCACAGCGAAGTATGTTAAAAAGCTGGGCATAGGATATCTTCTCGCCAAGCACTTTCGCCTAGAGAACTCTTACTTGTGTTATTTGAATGCATGATGCAGCATGAGCTGTTCGTGCCCCAGCGCCTGTCCCTGCCCCGCAAATGCCGTTAAGATTTACGAGTGTGTGTGTGTGTGACAGGGCAACGCCTTGCTTAAATCACGCGTGTGGTCCTCATTTAATTACAACTCAATGAGTTCGACTGAACTCGCCCAACAGGTGGTGGCCGCAGAATTACCCAAAAAACCAAGAAAAAAAATAAATACCATATTCCCTCCTCAGAACACCCCATCGAAAATCTCAAGGCAGATGCATCAACTGCTGCCCAAATCACTTGACACAAAATGTTCTTTAACTGATTGAGCATTGACATTGAACTCTTTTATATTCTTGTGGCATTCAAGTGTTATCAGAAACGATCGAACGAAAATCAAAATCTGATCAGTGATCAGTAAACCAGTAAACCGAGTTCGTGGGAAGGCCCCAAACGTTGACATATCTCAATAATCAGTTTATTAAAGAGAAGGCGCATAAATGTCAGAAAAATGCATAGGACACCAGCTCATATATCAAAAACGCATAAGTTCACGTTAGATGATGCGTTAATCGTTTTAATATTCAGCTCAATATTACCTAATAGCTGGCTTAGTGAGGAGAAAATTTCGACTTGGAGCTACCTTTTGGTGCTCTTAAATGCCAAACTAATTAACTTTCGTACAAGCGGGTTAACTCTGAAAGAAGAACGTGAAATAAACAGTTGCTTTCCAATGCCGAATATTAAATACCCTTGTAGACATATAAGAACAAAACAGTATTCTATTAAAATAAAATTATTTTCATCCAATTCCACAGGAACTGATCTCTGATCTTGGTGATTAACTTGGTGGATTTATCAAAGATTTAATTTTTAATATGGTTTGGTTCTGGCATAGGCTCAACTTATTTTTCTTAAATGTCTGAAAGGATCCGGGTTATAGTAAAAATATGTTGAAATTCAAGGCTCGTAACGGTTTGGCTTAAGACTTACTTGCAGCCTTGTACAAAATACATATTTTAACCAGTTTGATACAGTTGTCCAATGTTGAGCAGATATTGAAAACCAACAAGTTTTTAAACCAGAAGTTTAAGATACACCTACCTATACAATACTAACTAAAGCAAATGTAATACCAATAGGTATAATGTAATGTCAATAGGTCTGTCCTACAGAAAAACCTGGATATAACGACTCGTCTAGATCAATAGTAAACATTCTTCTTCAATAATATACATTCCTCAGCGTGTTACACATTTCATGACATAATTATTATACCCTGCGCAAGAGTATAAAAGTAATACATGTATTTGCCCTCAAGGCTGGCGCTAAGTTTGTGGCCAAGTTAAAACAAATTTTTCCTTTCTTTATCTTCTTTTTTTTTTTTGGGCGCTGCAATAAAAAACGTTGCGGTTGCAAGTCAAAAGCTAATTGAAACGACTTTATTACTACCAAAAATTGAACGTTTTAAATTGTGTACAAACGCATGCCTCTGTATATATAGCCGCAGGATATTCACAAATGCGCGAGCGCGAGAGAGCGAGGGGAAGAGGGAGAGCAAAGCGAAGGCGTCAACAGAAATGTTTATGTGCCAACGGATATTTATACGTTTTAATGGCTTACGAATTGTATTTACCAAGTTGCAGACGGAAAGACTGGCGCTTGGGCCGTTTGACTACGCTAAACTTTTACAACTTCGCAGGAAATGCTGCTGGCGAGCCAAAAGGAAACACAATCCTTAACGTAAATATGAGCCATACAAAAGATGAAAATAAAACAGAATTTAATAATTTACGAGCTCATAACTGGTAACAGAGAAAATCGAAACCCCCAGCGCCCGATTGTACCCGACTTGTCGTCTTTGGGATTTGGTGTTGAAAACAATGCCATCCGTTTCATAGAGCCCACGAGATGCCAGTTATGGAGCGTGTGGTGTCAACTGATCTTGCGCTCACAGGCTGAAACTTCACCTGTGGCCTCTGTGGACGGACCAAAGGGCGCAGCTCCTAAACAAATCTATTGAAATCGATATTTTCTTGTTTTTGTGTTTTTTCTTTATTTTTTTTTTGCGGTCCAGAACATTTCTATTGAATTTGATGGGCCAAGAAACCGGTTTTGATCTGAATCGCATCGCATTGATATCCAATTGGTACATTTGTTTTTCCTTTTAAAATATTTCAACATTTTTATTGATTCGATTGGCTGTGAGTCATTTGAGCTTTGGACTTGGAATTGACGCAACGGTTTGAGGGTGCGGGCGCGTCATTGCGCGTATTTTGGACATGCCTAATAAAAAAATCCAAATTTGCGAAAATGAGTCAAATGTTTGTTGAGTGTTCCGGTGAAAAACCGCAGCGCTCTACGCTGCCAGGATTTAGAAATAGTTTTTGGAATTACGTAAATTGGAAACTTGTGTGAATTTGGGCACGTAGCACACCACCGCGTCGTTGGGCGCAGCAAATAGCTGTCAATATAAAAACAAATAAATTGATTTACAAAATCAATTAAAATTTCAATGTTTTGGGGTGCATCTATCAAATGTCTGCTGAGAATTAAATTGAGAAAAATCAAAACGACAACTGCACAGCTTTCAACATAATTCCGGATACTGGTTACGTAGTAACATAAGCAATAAAAAAAAAAATTGTTAAAAAAAGCATTTATTTTAATTTCAAATGCGCGCCTCTTGCCGACATGACGCATACAACTCTGTGTACTACTTTGCCTAAGTGGCAACGCTATTCGCGCTTACGCGACAAGCGTACACCGCATTACGTTGCTTACGTTTTTCTATTTGTCACTTCGTTTAGTTTTTTCTTTCGAGCAGCGCGCAGTGGCTCTCCGCAATGGCAAAAGTAGTGGCGCGTTTAACAGTTAAATCTAGTGCACTTTTAACCCAACGACAAAGTCTAACCGTGTATAAAGCATGTTGCCGAAATGCCAGCACAGGATTTGCGAATAAATTGCCACCAAGGAACACACAACGTCTGCTGATGCTGGTGGGCGGCAGTGTCGCCTCATTGGCGGCACTGACTGCGTTTATTCGACTGAGAAGCGCCGCGAATACAGCAAATGCAATGCGAAAGAAGAGCCTGGTAAAGAAATACAAAATGAAAAACAATAGCAGCTAGTGATAACAGTGCATTTGTGTGCGTGAGTGTATGTGTGTGTGGAGCAGAGTATGGAAAAGTCAATAAATGACCGTAAAAGACTCGCGCAGTTATTTTTAGCTTGGGGCAGCTTACGTTACGCAGCGCAGCCAGCTGTTGCGTTTTGCCATAACGTAACGGCAAACAGCTGATTGACGTTCAGTGTGTGTTGTGTTTGTTTTGCTCGCCGCATTCGTTGCGTTTTTTAGTTGTCTTTGCTTAGATTGGCTTTTAATAAACAACAACAAACACGCGATCAGGGCCCCTCGCCTACCCCCGCTGTCGCAGAACCGCTTACATTTTATTACACATTTTGGACTAGCTGTAGGACTGAAGAAAAAAGTGGTTCACGGTCTTTATCGCTTTTTAGGGGGACGCCGTTTTCATTTTGTTGTCGCGTGCTCAAGTTCATTGAACAACAAAAAAACCAACAACAACTAAAAACTTGTCTTCAAACCTGTTAACATTGTCAGTTTTTTGTTTTTGTTGTTTGCTATTGCTAAACCCCAAAACTGTTGACGCGCCGTTGCGTGTCGGCGGGTCTGATAAGCATTTTTTTGTTCCTTTTTTCTGTGGTGTGAAGTACTAATATTTACATAAAGTGCTTTGGGTAATTAGTTGTTAAGGCTTGAGCAACATGTAATACATAAAGCTCTTTATTGTCGTTTGTATTTAATCATGATTTTTCTGGGCCAAACAATGACTTGTTCCGTCTTGCGGGCTAATAATACCGTTAGTTTCCCACTGATGTTCTTGGAACAATATTTTATATCATTTCCATGTATTGAACTCACCTGTATATTCCACCAGCAGTTGGTGAAATTTGGTAAAAGAATATTTTTGAAGCCAAACGTTTAAAAAAGTTCCCTACAACTTTTTTCATACATGTTCCATGCTGGGTGCAGTTTTTGTTAGATTTCCCATTTGAGTTTATTAAAAAATCTGTTATTTATATATTGACAATGATTTATTAAAGATTGATGAACTTATATCATATAAGGGCAATTCAATGTATGTAATCGAATGTCTAGCGCTTCGCATCCGTGGACATTTTAGGATGAGGTTGAACAACAGGTTGCTGCAATGGTTATTTACGAGTCCATATACATTGGCGTCGTTATGTACAAGATTTACCATCGCCTGGACGATCCTAAGAATTGGCTCTGCGTTGCTTATGAAGTGCATCCTTTTTGCAACACACCGTTTGATATGCTGATCCAAAGATCCTTCAGGTGTAGCCGCCCCTTTCGATGTGGGGTGTGAGGATCTCCCGCAACCAATCTGGTGGAGGCAACAAAGCCGGAGCGGACATCCTTAAGCAGCTGCAGCAAGTGCAAACAAAAATAGCAAAGGGTAGAAGTTTTTAACAAAAATCGCACAACAATATTCAAAAGCAAGGAAAAAATGTGTCGAATTTGTTCTGCCCGTTCATTTATTCCATCTAGCACGAAAGAACGTATAGAAATAACCTGCATTGTGTTAGTTATAGGAAAATGGAATACGATGATGTGTTCAGGGCTTGTCTTGATTGAAAACATTATCTAATTATTTTGAAAAGTGGTTTTATACTCGTGGAAGGATCTCAACAACTTTGTTGTTAAGTGTTTCATTAAGAGAAAGAAGACTCTATATTTTCTTAATATGCAACAAACGTCGAGTCAATATAGGCTTGCTCGTCTATTTGAACTCAGAAACTATCGCAGTTGGAATTATCAAATTTCGTATATAGGTGCCTGTATATACAAAAACCTTGCCTTCCCCATTCAAACGAACGCATGTTGAAGTTAGCCTGACTACAGGGTAACTCCTAGCCAGGCAGTTTTTATAGTTATCTTTTAGTGACATTCTTAGACATTTTAATACGCCAATTTACATGCCCATATCATACACAGTCTATGTGATCTTGAATATGTAATTGGCTTTGCATTAATTTCAACATAGGTGCCACAGAAAAATGCTTTATGTGCCGCAACTGTGCATATTCTTTGCCACACACCTTGAAAATCTGAGGAACGACCGCAACAACAACAGCAACAATAATAATAATAATAATAATGAAAAGTGCATTTGGTTTTGTTGATAAAGTGTCCAAGTAGCTGCGAACTCCGCCCACGCACCTGACAACGTGCCCAGAACGTACGCTGACACGAATGCCAGCTACCACAAAATTTATCTATCAATCGATCTGGCTAGTGTGGATTTGGATACACCCACCATAAGGCTAGCAGGCGGGCGGGCCCAATGCCAGACGCAGGCGTGGCTATGTTTCGGGCCGCAGCGTCCCTGACATGTGCCAAGTCCCTGAGCCAAGTTATGACAACGACGACGACGACGACGACGACTGCCTCTGATGATGACGAATGAGCTTTAATTGTTGCCTATAAAGAATAAAAAAAATAAAAAACGAAAATACAGCGCCTGCAGAGCGCCTGCGGCTCTCCTGCCTGGTCTGGATGATGTCAGCCCAGTTATGAAGAATTAACACACGATTCAATTGCAGCGCGTGGGCGTGAATTGAGGCTGGTGGCTGCTGCACATGTCTAACATTCAAATTGCGCGTCGGTCTTTGTCTTTTTAAGACCAATACCCGTTGAAAATGGTTACGAAAAGGGTATAATAAACTTGTACAACTCTATGTTGCAGGCAGAGAAGAGTGAGTAGCCAGCTGTGTCAATATAAAGTATATTCTTAATCAGTTAACAGAGGCAATACCTATAGATTTTCAAAAATTAGTCAAATAGATTCATTTCGCCAATATTCCCCAATTGCGTGTGGAAATATTCCGACCCCATTCTAGCTGTTACAGCTTCGAGGTAGCTATAGTCAGGCAATCAGCCAATCAGTCGAGACAAACAGTTTTATATATATAGAGATTACGAATGTGTGTGTGGGATGCAGGGTATCTGTAAGTCTGGCACTCACAATTAGAGCAATTTAACTTGTTCTTTTTCGGGGGACATGTGCCCCAGACAGTCGAATTATGCATGTGGCCTGCAAAATTGAGTCATTCCTTGGGGCGGCCACTGCCCACATTTTGTGTGTGTGGCATTAAATGTCAGATTTATGGAGCTAAAGCCAATTTATTATATGAGCATACGTATGTATATATGTGCCGCCCCCCGAAAAAATCTGGTGACCAAATCAATTTGGCACTTTATTGGCCCTGGCTGTTTAGCCATGCTTAACGTGGGAATCCTGTCCAGCGCCAGCAAAGCCCATTAATATTACACTTTAAAGGCACACACGGCAGACTGCAAATCAGAGTATATATCAATGTATACATATACAATGTATGTATGTACAAATCTGATATTCATAATAATTTTGCTTGCAGTTGAGGTCGCGTTTTTAACATTAATCAAAACGTCACCAGACGCTCAGCCTGGTTTCCGATATCGATCGGTTATTTGTCGTCTGCATTTGCCGCCTTTGTGCGCCAGCGGCGGAAATTTCTGGCGATCCAATCTGGCGCTGATTTATGCCCATTATACATGTGCACATGTATATACAAATATGTTATATACATATATTCTCTCGCTAAACTGAGACACATATCAAATTACCCAACGATTCATCTTTTATCGTCTATCAATAAAGCATCGCGATGATTCCGACTTGGAGAATGTTAAGCTAACCGCACGCGAGCGCCGATTCATTAAATTCGCCTCCGTGGAGTACGAAGATCAGCTGTATATGACGCCACAGGATTTTCTGGAATCTGTTGTGGAACAGGAACCCAGACGTGAGCGTTAATAGCTATTAATTTAACCAAATTCAATTTCAATAATTGTTCATCTTTCAGCTCGTCTGAAGCGTCGCGTGCTCAGCTGCGAGGAGGTTGAAAAATACAAGGACAATACGCCAGCAGTCAAAAAGGGTTCCTCACGTCTCTTTCGCAATCTCAGGGACAAGGGTGTGTATCCTTAAAATAATTATATATTTATATGAAATATGTTAATATTCATTTTTTTTCTTAAAACAGGCATTGTTTCGTACACGGAGTATTTGTTCTTGCTCTCCATTTTGACCAGTAAGTGTTGGAACGCAGTTGAAAAGCCTAGAAACTCAATTAAATACCATATATAAAATCTTTAAATATAAATTAAAATCTATAAAGATATATTGTATGCTTGTTGTAATCAGAAGAAGAAAATGAGTATGAGGACATATGGCACTGTTAGTTATATCAAAGTCTCATAATAATTAGAAACGTGGAAGCTTATAAAATATAACAACTCGATTTCGGTGATTCCAAAAAGAAAAACACAAATTTGTAAAAGTTAGATTTATTGTTTTTAAATTATTTAAATGAAAATATTGTTTAAACTTTGGTTAATATTATGAGAATTATGTTTACAGAACCCAAATCGGGCTTCCGCATTGCCTTCAACATGTTCGACACGGATGGCAATCAGCGTGTGGATAAGGCCGAGTTTCTAGTCGTAAGTGTATAAAGTGATCAATTTATCTGTATATGTACATATGTTTTTTATGTAATCCTCAACATTTTTTATATTATCAGTTATTTTTATTTATTTTTCATAATATACTTTTTTTTCTAATCCTAATTTAACAGATTATTTCCATTTTGGCCGGCGCCTATAAGTCCCTACAAGATGTTGACCCAAAAACCAAGGCAATTGTAAGATTTGATTTTATTTATTGTTTCTCTATGTTTTAAATAATTTTTAACTCTATTCAAAATCAAATAGCCAGCGTTAGCGACAGGAATTTTATAAAGAATTTCGTTTACATTTTTTTATTTTAATGTTATAATTTATTTAATAATATGATACAGATGCGACGCTTAGTACCTTATGAGGATCACACACCGATTAAATCTCTAGCAGTTTCACGACCCAAGGGTCTTGTAAGTCTATGAGGAATTGACCAAAAAAAAAACATAGCTTTGCTTTCAGAAAAAAAATTACGCGTTGTAAAATATGCGCAGAACGCATACGTAGAAGCTTAGCATAGTTACGTTTGATTTCACGTTGCGTTACGTTACGTTATGTTATGTTACGCTATGTATTATGTTTTTATGTTCAAAGCCTTTACACCTGCCTTGTATATTTGCCAGCGCCCAGTCCAATTAAGCTGTTGAATTTCGAAAAATTTTGTATGCTTTAATATTTTTCTTACGTTATGCACTTACGTTACGTTTCGTTCTTTGCGTTTTTTTCAAAATCCTACGCCCAACTGTAACCGAAAACCTTTACTTAACCTAACCTAACTATTCTTCTCTCCCAATCTAACCAAACCCCAACTACCCTACAATGCTCCCATCCCAACGTTTTGTATATAAATCAAAACCCCAGATGGAGCGCATATTCAGCGGCGCTTGGAATGAAAAACACGGCGATCAGGCGTCAGAAAATCCAGATGAATCGTCCGATACGCCACACGAGGTAAGGTTGAGCATGCGCCTGTGTCTTATGGTGTGACTAAACTGAATATTTGATATAGAGCATATAAGTATACTAATATTATTTTCAATTTGCAGCGTAATTTAGTGGATGACGCCGAGGGTCTGCAGCGACGTCATGTGGTGTCCACAACCCTGCAGCTGCATCTGTTTGGCAAGCGCGGCACTGGCGTCATCAACTACGACAATTTCTATCGTTTTATGGATAATCTGCAGACGGAGGTGCTCGAGCTGGAGTTCAATGAGTTCTCCAAGGGACAAAGCTTTATAACCGAACTGGACTTTGCCAAAATCTTGCTGCGCTACACGTATCTGGCCACAGATGAGTACGATGTGTTTTTGGAGCGTTTGCTGCATCGCGTCAAGGATGAGCAGGGCATATCCTTTAATGATTTTCGTGACTTTTGTCATTTTCTCAATAATCTCGATGATTTCACCATAGCCATGCGCATGTACACGCTGGCCGATCGCTCCATATCCAAGGGTGAGTCGTGGTCAATGCGTACATAAATCTGTTAAGCTCATAAATTTATATTTGCTGAGCAGATGAATTTGCGCGCGCTGCCAAGATCTGCACTGGCTATTGCCTCAGTCAGCATATAATTGATACGGTCTTTGCCATATTCGATGCGGATGGGGATGGTATGTTGCATTATAAGGAGTTCATAGCCATTATGAAGGATCGCTTGCATCGTGGGTTCAGAGTAAGTGGTCGTTTCTTTGATTACAATGAGGCACTCGATGCATACGATGATCCCGAGTATCCCATGTTTCAAGCCTGGCGCCATAGCGTCTGTCGGCAATTGGACTTCTACATTGACAGCGATGCGCTGTGGCATTAATAATTTAATATAAAACAGCTTTTGTTGTTGTTCCTGTTATCGCTTGTGTGTGTGTGTGCGTGCGCGTGTTGTCTCATTTGTGTGTGTTTAATTTGTTTTAAGCATTAATCATTGTTTGTGCTTAAGCTTTTTATTTATTTCTATTATATTAATATTTTAATTTGTATTGTGACCAATTGTTTAAAGACTCAATTGGATTTAGGCACGCCGTATACAAATTTGTTTTGATTATTTTTAGTTCTTATTTGGCCATAAACATATTAAAAGTTATATATATACACAATAAATTGGCTTTTTATTCAATGTTTACTTTAAATGCCTAATATAAAAATTATTACGTATATATAATTTACATGCAGCCATTTGTTTTTTTTTAATGTTAGGCTTATGCCCGCAATTAATTAAACCCTTGTTTATTGTACACCAAATCATTTTAATGCTGTTTAAAATTCTTTAAAAACATTTATTAATTACTGTTGTTGTTTGTGTGGAATCATGCAGTAATACCACAATTAATTTCAGTGTATTTTTTCACGCCTTTCATAAACTCACAAGTCATCGCCTTCATTTGTTAATTGATTTGTTATTGTTGTCGTTGTTGTTGATCAGCTAATCAAATATTTTTGTTGTGCCAAAAACTTTGTTATTGTTGACAAGCCTGACTCACAGGGCCATAAAGATAACGACAGGTCTAAAGCTTCAATTTAGTCAATGCGTGGCAAACACTCGTGCTTTTTTAATGCTTTTTAGCCCACCAAGATGCTGAGATGAACTATAAAAAAAAAACCAAAAACACAAGCGCTGCCCAAAAGAGGTTGGTTCTAGCCCGTGTGGAACCCCCCCAGTTAATTTTTCGCTCCGCGTCTCATAAACTTGTCGTATCTCCCACTAATTCGCACTATAACACTGAACTATGTTTTCGTTAGCCCCACTTGGCCTCAACTAATTGATTTAAACTATTGCCTTACAGTCCGTAGCCAAGTCGGAGGGCTGGGACGCCTTCAAGCATTGCCTATATCATGAAATGGCTGCGCTAAAGAAACCTTCCTATTAGACGCTATCGAAACCCAGCAACACTCTGTTGATATGAAGAAACGAAAACTACGCCAAAGTGAAACAAAAACAAAAAACTATATTATCGAATTCTAGTTGCAAATTACTTTCTTCTAAAGAAACACAAAAATCTCCTGTTTTAGCTTCAAATTTTTAAAAAAAAATCTTTATTATTGTTAAATTATAAAAGTAATTTATTAATGAGTCTGCTAAAAATATAAATTTGCAATTTGTTAGATGATTTCAAATTTATATAGACATTACGCATAAGAAATGCAGTTGTTACAAAATAAATAAATACATATTTATATAGTTAAGTACTTCATTTTTTTATTATATACATTAATATGCATAAGAGGCTGTTGACGGGTATAGAAATATGTAGGTTCCTTTCTTATAACATTTTATTTTAGGCTCAAAATCTCGGTTAAATATGCTGAGAATTTCAAATGATATAACTCTTTCGATCAGGACTACCCATTGGCATTCAAAAAGTCCAATTCTAGAATGTGTACGAAAAGAGTTCGGAAATGAATACTTTTTTATTCAAATCTGTTCCATTTCTTCTCACGAGTCCAATATAGTATAACTTTCCAGCATCAGACTATATTTATACCGAGCTATTTTGAGTTTTATATAAGTAAACCCCTTAAATTTTTAAAAGTTAGGTATTCATAAATCTGTTAAAAATTTAATCTGGAAATTTCCTATACAGTTTTTCCACAAGCAATGCAAGTGCAATACTCAAAACATATAAATAAAAACAAAATTTGTTTATATAGTTTAATATTTCATTTTTTATTAAATATATCAAAATGCAAATGAGGCTGTTGAAAGTTATAGAAATATGCAAGTGTCAAAAAAAGGTTTTTGGTTTCTATTGCGAAATGCTTAATACTAAGTGCATTATTATTTGAATCAATAAGAATAACTTAGCTTTAGGATACGGTTCAGAGAAAGCTCTCCCACTCTCGTTTTCTATTCCTGGTTTTTTTGGGTCTCTTAACTTATGCATAATTATACATTTATATAGGTATATAAAACTTGCACTATTTTCTATATAAATTTGCACTTGGGCATTAAACAGAATTACAATAAATTATCACAGTTAAATTGCGTGCATTCGATAAGACACACTTTTCATATCGTTACACTTGCCTACGAGTTTATATATATTTACATATATATAAAAATATTTTAAACTTTTATCATTTGCATAAATGTTGTGATCAGTACGGGTTTGGTAGATTTAGCTAAAAAGATTTAAATAAAATTGGGGAATTGTTTTGGAATAGTTGCATAGATAAATTGCACAAATAAAATTATAATAATTATTGCTAATTATAAGAAAAATAATAATTTTAAATATAATAAAGGATTAACAACTAGTCAAGTTTAGTTTAGTTTTACTTCTAGTCCGTCGTAGTCGACGGCATTGTCCAACTGACGAATTTCTCCTTCTCCTGCTCCTTACCGCCCCCGGCGAAATTCCTGTTACTTGGCTTGGAACGTCGAAATTTGAAATTGGCAAAGACATCGCGTTTGCCAATTTCTGCATCATCCATCTCCATATTACGCTGCAATCCCACGCCGGGCATAAGCTCCTCGTTGAGCTGTTTGCGAAAGTTGTAGGCTCCCTTGCGCTGCTTTAGCTGCTGCTGCTGCGCCAGAAATGATTGCGGCGCTGGTGGAGTCTTCTTGGGACTGCCCATCTTGGGTAGCGGCTTGGGATCGCGCATTAGCATGGGAAACATTGCATCGTCCGCATCAAAGTACCAGGGACGCGAAAAGTGATAGCCGGTGCTGTAGTACGGCTTAAAGATGGGCTCATTGGAGCAAATACTGAATGCATGATATGCATGCGAGATGAGCTGCGGAAAGCGTTCCACCCAATAATTGGTAAACTCGTGCGGTATGCAACCGAGCAGCTCCTGTGCCTCGGGCGTCAGCTCGTGATAGTGATGTTTCTTATTGCGCAGTGCGCGCAACAAATCCCGCACACTAGCGCCCATATATCCGCGATATTTTCTCAAATCATCCGTAATCAATGCATCCAAATGCATGTTCCAATCGTCGAGAACTACTATGCGTCCATTCTTCTCCAGCGATTTGAGTGGCTCGGCATGAAACTGCAACTTCTCCACCCGGTCGCTGACATCCTGCAGAAAGCTGAGCATTTTCGGCTCATCCCAGAAGAGAGGATGGTTACCAATGCAGCGCGCCGGCGGACGTGACTGGGGATCTTTATGTATCATATCGGATATGAGCTGCTCCGCCAGTACCTACAAAGAAGTATTTGGATATAAATTAATATTAATATGTATATGTATTAATGGCTGCTTGATATTTACAATTCTGCTGTCCTCACGGCCATCTTCAGCTCGCAGCTTGGACAGATTGTATTCATGCGTGAGTATATTTGCCTGACGCTTGAGATTGTCGCCAAAGGCATGATAGCCACCACTCAGCACATAGTAGTAGACACAGCCCAACGAAAAAATGTCCACAGCTGTGGTCTGAAAAACACACAAAGCATTATATACAATTTGTAATCTTTTATGCGAGCAATTTAACTTACGGTTCGCTGAGCGCGCATCATCTCGGGCGCAATCCAGCCATCGGTGCCCGTAACGCCCGAGCGCCGCGAGAAACTGGTGCGTCCAAAATTGAGTTTTTTGCACAGGCCAAAGTCCGAAATCATAACGCGCACCTTGCCCTTAGGATCGGGCAACGACAGCAGCACATTTTGCGGCTTTATATCGCGATGAACTGCAAGTAGAAGAGCAGAAGGAAATTAAATGACATATTATAAGCAAGCAACCACGTAATCCTATCACTTGATCAATCAATCAGTGTTATAACATAGATATAGAAGTCAATCTTACCAATATCCAATGAATGCAGATGACTGAGCCCAGCGGCTGCCTGGACCAGCACTTGCCACATATCTATATACTGACGCAGCTCCATTGAACGTTCGCCCTCGGTGTAGTCCTGAAGCGTGGCGGCGCATAGTTCCACGGCTATATAGCGAAACTGACGATCCTGTTCGGTGCAAAAGTAACGCACCACATTCTCATGCGCATCAGATTCGCGTAGCAAAGCCACTTCGCGATCGGCAAAGGTAAAGCACTCTGGCAGCAATCGCTTCACTGCCACAAAACGCTCCTCAAAGTTACCCTTAAAAACAAAGGTGCCTTCGCAGCCCTTGCCCAGGACTTCGTTGGAATTGAAACTAATCTTTCCAACGCGCACATTCCCATTGCCAAGATCAAGCAGATCCTGAGCACTAATGTTGCTGCCATTGCTGCCCGTGCTGCCATTGTTAGTGCCACCCGCGGCCTGCTGGGCCATTGTCTTGGAGCCATTCTCGCTCTGCTTCTGCAGCTCCCGCATGGTGCTGCACGTGTACCAGAAAAGAGCCACCATGCCCAGGACAATAACAATCAGTATTTGATGCACCTTGCCACTGGGATGGTCCATGAACCATTCGTTAATAAATGCCTGCACCTTATTGCTGTTGGCCATAATTATGGTCTTGGTGCGATTGATTGTATTTGAGCGTGTCGGGTCAATGGTAATCTCCACCATCTCCGGTTCCGTTTGCACGCCTATATCGGCAGCATTCTTTTCATTATTTGCCAAAAGTCCATAGCCATCATTATAGTTGTGTATTGTAGCCAAACTGAGCACATCCTTGTTCGCCGAGGGTGTTGGAGATAAATGCAAATTGCCCTTGTTGACCTCATTGGGCATGTTGTAATGCCCCAGCATAATGCCCGGATTTTCCTGTAGCACATCATTGATGTAAACGGTACGTGGATCGTTATCCTGTTTATTGTTTAACTCCGCGACGGGTCCATCGAGCAGTTTGATAGGCGGCGTTGTAGATATGCGTGGCGTATTCTTATCCACCAGCGAGGGAAGAGCATAGAGACCACGTTGATGTTCGCCCACATACAAAGATTGACTGTGGAAGAGGAAGAGGGTAAGTATTGGACAGTTATCAATTGGAAATGCAAGTCATTGTTGCTTACAATAGTTTTACAGTATTCACATTGCCCGTCTTGGACTCCTCTAGTATGGCCTCGTAAGCCTCATCGGAGACTGTGGTAAAGGGCACGCTGAGCAGCCCATCCGGACCCAGCAAAAAGGCGGCCACCACAGGACTGTTGAGATCGCGTTGCCATAAAAATTTGCCCTGCTTGCGATCTAGGGTAACAATCTGGCCATTGCTGGTGGTGGTCAAGTGAATGTACTCTATAAAAGAAATCAGAGATTAGGACTAGGCACATGTAATACTTAAAATATTTTACCATATTCCTTGGCTAGCTCTGGCGGCGCACTGAGCGCATTGTAATCATAGAAGGTAATGTTCCAGGGCTTGGCATTCTTATCCTTAGCTTGACTGTCGTACATCATGACCGTATACTGTGTGCGTCCCAGATAGATAGCACGCGATGTGGCCCAGCCAATATGCTCACTGTCTTTGCCCTCCATTTGGGCATCACCGAAGCCCATGACCTTCTCACGTCTGCCCGTCTTTGGATCGACCATATACCAGGTGTCACTCTTCTTGCCCGAGTACAAGATGCCATCGGAAGAGCGACACGGCGCATTGGCCACCAACTGAGGTATTGTATAGGGCAGCTTCTTAAGGCTGCCCATTTGACCGAGCTGATAAATGCTGCCGTCTCTAGGGTCAGGCAGATAATGTGGAACCTGCACATTTTGCTGCGGTTCCGCTACAATGGGTGGATCTGAAATAAATAAATAAAACAGCGAAAAAATTTAAGTAAATTCAAGTACTACCCGTATCTTTTATATCAATATAAGGCGTCTCAAAACACTTGAGCACATATTTACTATAGCATGTGCATGTGCGTGTGGCATATATGCAATAATTTGCTTATCTTTTATCTTTATCTATATATATGGAAGATTCGAAATGCGCTCCACGAAAGCAAACATTCGTATATTTAAGATTATAAATAAAGAGGTCATTTTATATTAATATAAATCTTAAACTTTTAGAATTCAATAGAATTGCAAGAGGGAAAAAACACGCAGTATTAATCACGGGAGGGATTTGTGCTTTCAGATCCATCCAGTTTCGACAGTTGGGTAGGTCTTAAGTCAAGGTGTAGAGTATGATTAAGGGATGATTTGGGAAAACTCTAACATTAATCAGATAACTGAAGTAATTAAGGCATATGTAACTGGCGAAAACGTCAAAGTGTGAGTTATTGCCCGTGACATAATAATATTAACAATCTAATATCATTTGTCAATGACAGCTTCGAAATGGCTGTCACTTGGTTTAAATGCTCCCTACAATCATCCAAAATAAGTTCTTACTGCATTTTATGAATGTGTATTCGTTGAAATTGGAACAATTTTACTTGTTGAATCGAGCGAACGTTTGGCTTTATCAACACTTGGCTGCGCGCACATTTCTCGTGCTGAGCCTTATCACCAAATAGCCCACAACAGGGCGATGTTAATTATTGGAAATACACCCAAGAGAGGGAGCGCGAGTTGAGCTAGGGAGTGTGAAGTGTGGCGTAGAGAGTGGGTTTTTTGTGGCAACCATTTCTCATTTGGCCAGGTCATTTAACTCGCCTCGCCGGGCACTCTAATTAGCATCTGGATTCTAACCACATAGTGATAGAAATTGCTCTGGAATGGACATGTGATGAGGTAATAGCAATTATAGCCATATCTGGATTTATAAATCAATATAAAAATATTATTTACAAATACAGTGAAAACTCTCTTGAGCGGTTTCAGATTTTAGTTCTGTTAATAAAGACGTCTACTTGAACAATTGAAAAAATGATCAGGCTAAAGGTTTTTCCAACTAAGTTGTTCGTTAGTGAAGGTTTCACTGTGCACACATCACTAGCTACATATAAATTTGTTATGGCTGACAGGTTAAAATGAATGCAAAACTAATCTATATGCATTTATAAGCCCGTTACACATCGTGTTTATAATTGAAGCAGTTCCATATAATCAACCATTCTATATTTAAATACTTGCGCTTGCCTAGAAAATCAAGCGAAGATGTTGTACACATGTTGTTTTCCATTAAAAATTATAAATATTCCAGGAAATAAAAACCCGAAACACACAAACCGCATTTTTGGTGGGCGTACCATTTACTGTTGTGCCGGATGCTGATTATGGAGTTAATAATAAATAATCGTTTGGATTTTTCAAGATAAGACACGAGACAGTTGAATTGTATATTATTTGATAATGCAAATTCCAGCACGCAATCAATAAATAGAAAAAAAAATATTTATAGCAACAGTTGAACGAATGTCAAACATAAAAAAAAAACTAAACTAGAAAGATAGGTATTTTTCCTTTGAAATAATATTAATAATAAATCTACAATTGAGGTTAAGTTGAGAAGTTAAGAAAGGAGATATGGATAATTGTTTCTTCATGCGGATTAACCAATTTAATAAACAACATTAAAGTTGTTTTGAGTAAGACAGACTAATTTGTATTAAAAGCCGATGGTCATCTGATATAGCCTAAACCACCTGGTTACAAGCAAACAGAAATCTAAAATCTAAAACGTCAATAAAATAACGGAAAAGTCATATTAATAATTGAGCGTTAGGTGGCGATATCGCGTTGCGTTAGCAGTTTAATGGAAGGAACTTTATTTGTATGTTGCGAGCGTGGCGCGTCTAGATTACGCATGTACTACATGCACACATGCACACACTTAAACATACACATATGCATACTTATACATGGTGTGCTCTGTTATCAGTTGAAAACAATAGCACACACTAATAACGGCGCATTGTCGAGAGCAAAAGTGTAATTAGAGTAAGCCAGCAGCATCTCCTCCGACGGTCGCTACGCTTTGGTATAATAGTAGACTTTCTACAATACACGCATATACATACGTATGCGTATGTTTTTGTTGTTTTCCATGCGATGAGCTCATCGGAGTGCGATTTGCTCTTGTTTATGCTGCACTTTTCACAATTATGGCGAAATGCCTTTAATGCAACAGTGTTTTTATTAGTATTTTTGGGGTCGTGACGTTGCCGGTCAGCGGGTGTGGAGAGTAGGAGAGTTACCATATGCTTAGTATCTCACACACTCTCGCACAACGAGAGAGTGACAGGCAATGTACTAGATTGAGGTTACTTTTTACGGGTGCATTTCAAACACCATAACTAAACTTTGAAACTGTAATTGTCTCGCTGAGTATCTGCCTGTGTGTGTGTATGTCACTTTCAAGTACTTGAGTTAGTGCGCGTATAATTACCATCTGCTATTGTCCAGCGTATTTCGCTTGTTATTGGATCGATTGCCGTTAGCCCGCCACCCAGCGTGGAGAATACCATCAACGCCTCCTCATCGCGGGCAAGGTCTGTACAATCCTATACCAAAGACCAAAAAGAAAAAACAATTGAACAAGGGTCATCAACTATTTATTTGATGGGCCAAAGGCAATCTCAGGTTAAGCGCCCGCATTAACAGTATTTGTCCCCTTACCGTCTTTTCTTCGGCACTGCTTACAACTTCTGCTGAGTCGGCATTTGCACCTGCCGTTTGTGTTGCGGCTGATGCAATCACGCTGCTCAATAGCAAAATTAACGCGCAACAGCGAACGAAGTATTTCATTTTGCAAAATCTATACGACGACTTTGTTGTTCTTGTCTTTTTCGACATCGCGCGACGCACAATGAAAAAATTTATATATTTTGCGTTTGATTATTGATGCACTTGCAATTTCTTGCTATTGGTCGAATGTATCATATTTTCAGTGGTTTTTCATAAATTTGTATTTGCTTTAATTTGACACTTCACACACACATTGGCATTGGTTAAGATTTATTGCGTATTTCTTTCATTCGTCATTGTTGCGTAGAGTTTTACTGTTCGCGAGCGTATGAACAAAAAGGGAATTGCTCACCGAACTGAATTGAGTTTGTTCATACTGGTTACCATAAATACATCAAATGAAAGTTCACACAGAATTTATGAACTGGCAAACTGGCTCTGTATTATAATCAACATTTATTTTTGATCATTGTATTGAACGCTTAATATTTAATATATTTAATTTAATTAATTTATTTTATTTTTCTTTAACTATTCTTCAACTCTTGATATAAAAAACAATACTTTTGTTTTTGTTTTGATTTGTGAACTGTGTTTGCTTACAGTTTAGTATCTTGCTAATGGAACTAGTCAAATTAAACATTCTGCAATGCTGAAAAATACTAAATACCAGACAGTATGTTCAGCTCTCTTTACAGCTGTTTTGGTTTTTGTTGCACAATGCGGCAACCGGTCGTCAATTTAAGCAATTGTTTATTTAAACGTTTTCTACAAACTCAAAATACAGTGCAACATGCCAAACAGCAGGCTAAAAACCTTAAGGGTAAAAGCAAAAGCTCCCAGGATTGGTTGATACGGCAGTTGGCCGATCCATATGTGGAGAAGGCGCGCATGTTGAATTTTCGCTGTCGCAGTGCCTTTAAGCTTCTGGAGATGGATGATAAATACAAAATTTTAAAGCCTGGCGATGTAGTACTAGATTGTGGTGCTGCGCCAGGCAGTTGGACACAAGTGGCTGCTGAGCGCACCAACGCAAATGGCAAGGTAGAGCGTGCGCCACGGGGCGCAGTGTATAGCATAGATCTCCTACATTTCCATGCAGTGCCCGGAGCGACTATCTTTGGAGGAATGGATTTTACCACGCCGCTTGCCCAGCAGCGTCTGCGGGAGTCTCTGGCGGGTCGACAAGTGAACTGTGTGCTTTCGGACATGGCACCCAATGCTACGGGCGTGCGTATGCTGGACCAGGAGAGCATCACAAATCTGTGCTACGAGGTGCTTAGGTTTGCCCTCGCTATGTCCGCACCACAGGCCAATTTAGTGGTCAAGATCTGGGACAATGCCGATGTACCAAAACTGGAACGGGACATATTGTGCCATTACGAGAAAGTTAAACGTGTAAAGCCACGCGCAAGTCGTGGCGACTCAGCGGAACATTTCTTATTGGCACGCGGCTATAAAGGCCTAGCACCAGTGCCTATTTAGCCATATTTAGCTTTAATAGTCGAATGCAATAAATGTAAATGTGAAATTAAATGTAAATAATAAGTTCATTATGTATTTCGTTAATCGTTAATGGTACATAAATTTGAACATATACTGTAACTGTCGTTAGTCAATCGATATTCTAGCGCATTATCTAGTTGTAATATACGGTCACACTGGGTAACTTTCAAAAATAAAAACTCACCTATGTTCAGTTTCGCTTGTAAAAAGATTTCAAAAGTTGAATTATCAAAAATATTCTATACATTTTTACATTAGGATGTATTTTTAAACAAAATATCACCATAACACTGAAATTAACATTGACAGTCACAGTTTCGATGCAATCGAATATCGATAACAAGTTATTCGCGCACTGACCCACTCTGGCAACGTCATACATCTTCCCAAGTACTAAACACCAAAATTGTACACCAGCTGTTTGCAGCGCCAAAATATATTCTCAGATATTAAACTCCATTTTAGCTAGTTGAATAAACATGTCGGTCGCGGACACTCTGGAGTACATTACCCTTGGCAATCCCATCAGTCGTACGCTCATCAGTTCATCGTCATCAATTTTGCGTGCGATAGTAAGTTTATATTATTCAACTGTGTTCCTTTTTCTTTTGATGTTTATTGTTGCAAGTGCTTTGTTTTTTGTAGGGACTGCGTCCAAAGAATATACCTATGAACGATACCCCGATGGGAGTGCCAATTCAGGTCCAACCTTTAAATGTCTCGATGCACGGCATTGTCGGCAGTCACTATAACTTTGTGCGTATTGCCGGCTTGGGCGGTGCATCGGCCATTTTTATGGGCGCCTATTGTAAGTACTTTCTGAAGGATGTCCACGATCCCAAGGAGCAGCTGGAGTCACAGGCTTTTGCTGATGTTGCCAATCGCATACATTTTCTACATTCATTCGCACTCATGTGCATGCCTCTGGCACATTATCCAATCTTTGTAAGTATGCGAGTTTGTTTATTTGTTTAGGAATATCTGTGCCCATTGCAAATGGTGGAAGAAAGCATCTTAGATCCCATTAGCCATATAAATTCTAGAATAGGAGGTCAACCTGATCTAGCCATAATTCATTTTCTAAGCTTAGGATTTCGTAAATACTTACATCTATATTTTTGATAATGTTATTTAAAAAAGAATTTTACCAAAATGCATGTCTAAGAAAAAGAAGCACAGTCGCGAGGGTATGAGTTAGTCTGGCACTCTCGGCTAAAGCACTTTTGTTTTTATTAAGAGGACTACCGTTGTTTTTAAAAAAAACCAAAGAGTTTTGTTGGATCATCATACCGTTTATTGAGCATCATAAAGCTTTTTCAGTTATTTCACATTTGTAAGAGTTATATTTCTGAACGGAATTTATAACAACTCGCGTTACACTTTGAATGATTTGATTTCTGCGCAATTCAAATTCGATATTCAACAGTAATGTGTATATATAAATATGGATTTCATGTATATGTAATTGACACACTCGCTTTTGGTAAATAAAAAAAGAAGATAATTGAATAATGATATGGGCTAAGCGCTCACAAATTACGTTCTATTAGAATTGCAGATTGTATATGAAATTTCTGTTTTTTTTTGTTTTGTTTTTCAGAGCTAAAGCTAAATGTTCAACAACCACTAATTGCAGCTTAAAAGTAATTTCAATACCACATTACGAAACTTGTATACGATAATTGCTAGCATATAACATCATTATTTTATATATATAGATGATATGAGAGGTTCAGATCTGATATGGTATAGGGTTTTGAGGGTATAGGAAATATGTATTTGTTTTGCTTAATACTATATACTTGTTTCTTAAATTTTTCTGTGTGTTTAAAAAACGTACCAAAAGACAGCTTCAATAACGCTGCTTAATTTTTGTTTGTTTTTTTTTCTTTTTTTTTTGTTTTTGTCAATAATTTGGTTTTCAGCCTTATGCGATAAGTAAATCGTAGAGCTTGCATTGGGGTTTTCTTATTTGTTTTTCAAAGCCAACAACTAAAGCTAACATCAAAAAATGCAGGCCATACATTATTATTGTCTAACATTTAAATGCAGTATAAATAATTTTCTTCTTTTGTTTTTTTTTTTTTGTTTTTTTGCATATGCTTAATAATATTTAAATCTTTTGCAGACTGGCGTTTTGATGACCATGGGCACCGTACTCTTCTCCGGCTGCATGTATTATCGTGCTCTGACTGGGGAGAAGCGACTGCAGCACTATGCCACCATTGGGGGCTTCTGTTTGATTGGCGCCTGGCTGTCGCTGGTGGTCTAGATTTGATATATACGCACATGATATGATAGTTAATAGAAATACAATGGCACACAATTATCTACATATATATATAAAATCAACTAAAGCTAAAGCCTAGATGAAGTTACGTGTGTGTACAGCAGCAGCTATATAAATATAAATATATATATATATATTTATGCGCTTTTAAAAAGCGTCGCTTAGTTTTAAAAGTGAGCTCTCGAGCACTTGAATTTAAAAATTCTAGTTTTTTAAGTTTTAATCAGTTTGCAGCAAATGGAAGAAACATTCTTTTGTTGTTAAATGCATTAAATCTTTGCTTTTTGTAGATGATTTAAATGCAGTTCTACAAGTAAGTTAACGAACTGAAAAGCCAATGCGAAAAAAAAATTAAGAGTTATGTAGAAAATTAAAAAAAATCCAAATAAAAATCTAAATTGTTACATTTATTATGTGTACATTAATAAATTACTATAAAAAACACACATTAATACTAGACGTAACAGTTTATAGTATTTCTTTTTTGCTTTTGTCATTGTTATTGTCGATACGGAACACATTTTATACATTTTTCAATGAGACCTTTTCAAGGTACATTTTGCGCGGTTGAGCTAGAATTTTCCTTTTTTTTTTTGTTTTGTTTTTATCATATTGATTTACATGCTCAAACCTGAGCTTATTGTCATACATCTCGTACTATAGTTCTATAATCAATTCAACTAACATTTAGTGATATTTGATTTGTACATCTGTGTGTTACAAAAATTCTTTGCTTAACTTTAATTGTTTGATTTTTTTCTTGTTGTTTTTGCATTACTTATTCTTGGGCTACCCTAGTAGTTTCTGTTTGGAAGCCTCCGCAAACAGAAAGGTCTTTTGTATGCGCGCATTGGCAGCCGGGTGGTTCGTAATTGGTTCCAGTATCTTAAGTATGTAGTCTTTAAAAGCCTTCGGCACAGCGAAATGTCAAGAATCTTTTTTCGCGCGCAAATTATCCTCATGCGCCTGTCGGGATTAATAATATATCAGTTATATATAATGCTCCTGGCTTATATGCTTTAAAAAGAGACTCACCTTTTGTGCAACCTTGAGCAGCGCATCGAATGTGGCGTCGCCCGTCTGTTTGACCATGCTGTGGAATACCTTTTTCTCGCTGACGGTGAGTAGCTCGAAAGGCGAAGCAAATTCAACGGCACGTCCGGCATCCATAACCAAAACCTTATCCGAGTCCATGACCGTGTGTAGACGATGAGCAATTGTCAGCACTGTGCAATCCTTGAACTTACTCCTAATCGTATTCTGTATGAGGGCATCTGTCTGTGGATCCACATTAGCCGTAGCCTCGTCCATGACCAGAATGCGATTCTCGCGCAGAATAGCACGCGCCAGGCACACCAGCTGACGTTGACCCACGCTGAAGTTGGTGCCGCCCTCGGAAATTTTGCTCATCAGTCCGCTGGGCAGGTCGGCCACCACTTTCTTCAGCTTGACCTCCTCCAGTGACTCCCAGAGTTTCGCGTCGGAGTATTCATCAAACGGATCTAGATTGTAACGCATGGTGCCGGAGAATAGTACCGGCTCCTGTGGTATAATGGAAATCTTGCTGCGCAAGTCGTGCAGGCCCAGTTCATTGGTGTCGCGGCGATCGATTAGAATGGAACCTTCGTTGTAGGACAGTCGGAACAGTGCATTGATCAGGGACGATTTGCCGGCGCCAGTGCGTCCAACGATGCCAACCTTTTCGCAGGCATCGATGGCAATGTTCAGCGAACGCAACACATAATCCGCATCCTTGTCGGGGAAGTAACGCAAGCTCAGATCTTCGAATTTAATTTTACCCTCATCGGGCCAATCCTTGGGTGGCTTCTTGTTCGGCTTGGACTCGAAGTCGCCCTCCGGCTCCAGATCCTCATATTCCACGACACGTTCCACCGATGTCATGGTGTTCTCCAGCTCGGCGGACTGGCGCATGCCCCATTGCACCATGCCCGTCATGCCCATGGCCTGTGTTTCATATTAAGAGATAAGTTAGCAAAAGTTTTCTAGTGCAATATAAAGAGTTGTACCTGTGTTATGGCCAAGCCGACATCGCCGCCATTTTCTGGCGAGAATAGGAAAAAGCTGAGCGTAATTAGGGCAATATAAAGCACGCAAACCAAATCCAGCCAGTAGCCAAAGGCACGACTTGTCGCCAGGAACATATAAAAGCCAGAGCTGTGCATATCTTGGAAATTATCAAACTCCGCAATGAGCTCCTTCTGTGCGCCAAAAGCGCGTATCGTGGCCAAACCATTCAGCGAGGCGCTCAAATGCGAGTAGATGGGCGACCGAGCTGCAGATGATCAGAACAAAAATGAAACCAGGATTATCTAATCAACTCCAAATGCTACACTTACTTATCGCCTCCAATCTCTTGACATCTCTGGACGTGGTCAGATAGAAGGAGCGCAGCAGATAAAAGATAACGACCAGTATAAACGTGATCAACAGATACCAGACATTCACAATGCACAGCACAACAACAATGCCCAGAATGCAGAGGAATATCTGCATGACATCCATCATGACGGACGGCAACATCTCATCCACCTGACCCAGATCCTTGGAGAAGCGATTCAATATGCGACCTGATGGGTTTGTATTGAAGAAATGCATCGCCGCACGGGTCACACCCTGGAACATTCTGTTATGCAGCGTCGTGGAGCTCTTGGAGGCCAGATAAAAGAAGAGCACACTGCGCACGAGGGAGAACACAATCACCAAGACGTTAATGCCCGTAAAGTAGTATATATCGACGGGATCGGTATCGCTGTTGATTCTCGGCATAAAGGAGCGACGCAGACGTGACATAAAGGTATCCGTATTCGTTTCCCCGTTCTTGTTGACCCTGAGTAAAGTATATATAGGAAATTAAGTTACATTTAAGATTAACATTTGGAGCTCTGTTAGCAAAATGCTGTAAGCATAAAATACAATGTTAGGATTAACATAACGCATCGCCCAAGCCGTCAGAGCTATGGACCTGAATATTTCACAGCGAACATAGTTGATGTGCCCAGTTACTCACCAGTAGGACAGGAACATGTCGCCGCCAGAGCCCAACACCTGGGCGCCAATGCAGAAGAAAGCAAACACAATGAACAGAAAGTAACCGTTGGCAGCAAAGTATTTCTTATAGAGACCCATGCCTATGCGTCCCTCGGTGCGGGTTTCCTGGGACTGCATGGGTGACTCCATGACCACAGATTCGGCGCCAGATTCCATGGACGAGACACTGTTCGCGCGACTGCGCTTGCTGACCTGCGATAGCTTTCGTTTGTCGGGCGCATCGCCAGCGCCCTCATCTTTCTTGCTGGGATCGGTTAACATTTGGGCAAAGTCCAGACCACTCTTGCACATGGACTCGTAGGTACCCTTGGCACTGATCTTGCCCTTGTCCAGAATGACTATAAGATCGGCTTGCTCCAAGAATTGCAGCTGATGCGTAACCAGGAGTACAATGTTATCCCGCAGATAGCCACGCATGCACTGATCGAATAGATGACGGCCCACATGGGTGTCCACAGCGCTGAGCGGATCATCCAGCAGATAGATATCTGCCTTGCGGTACACGGCACGCGCCAGACTGATGCGTGCCTTCTGGCCGCCGGATAAGGAGGCGCCACGCTCGCCCACAATTGTCTTGTCTCCGTACGGCAGCAGCTCAAAATCACGCTCCAGCGCGCACTTCTTTACCACCTGACGATAGCGGCTCTTGTCCATGGGCAGACCAAACAGTATATTCTGACGAACTGTGCCGGTGAAGAGCCACGGCTCCTGCGATGCATACGACAAGGTGCCATTCACTTTTACGGTGCCCGATTCGGGCGGCAACTCCCCGAGAATGGTCTGTATCAAACTGGATTTGCCGGCACCGACGGGTCCAATGACAGCCACTAGCTGCCGCGGCTTGAACGTAAGGCTCAGATTGTCTAGCGTGTACTCGGTCGACTTTGAGTCCCACCTGGTCTTCAGCTTGCTGATGACCACGCTGCTCTCTGCCTCGCTGGGCCGGCGACTGCTTGGCTTAAGCACACCAGTGACTGTCGCCGCTGGCTCCTCCACCAGGCTGGCTAGCGGTTTATTGCCCAGCTTTTGTTCATTCAGATCGTTGGACTTGTCGCGCACTTTGGTCTCCTCATGCATCATAAACTTTTGTATGCGGCCTATGGAAACGAGCAGCTCAGCGAACTGGAGAATTGTAGAGAATTTAAATTAAATATAGATATAATTTAATAAAACGCAATAATATATATTAATAATTCACTAACTTTAAAAAATTAAAATTGATTTAAAAATGTTATTTGCCGGGCTTTTCCATAACATTTAGATGTTAAGTTAAGCAACAGCGATCGATGTTAATTATTAAAACCCCTATTTTAACAGCGCCAATTCAAAATTTGTGCTGACCATTATTTTAACAGATCTGTTGTTACTTTTGTCTTTTAAAGTAAATTTGAAAATATTTACGTTAACATTAACGGATATTTAGATGTTAAACCAAACTTGCGAATAGATTATACACAGATATTGACTGTTCATTTACCTGCGAGATGCCCATGGGAAAGTAGATGGTCATTGTGTTGCGCAGAATATTATAGTAGGCGGTAATGGCAAAAGCCTTCTCCGCGGTCAACAGTTGTCCCAGCAGCACATAGCCCACCAGGCTGACAAACACCGAAATACGGGTCACATACATGATGAAACTCTGCAGTGTGCCGCGAATGTAGTTCACTTTACGTATGGCATTCATCTCCTTGCCGCGCACATAGTTAATCATATTGCTGAACGGTATCTCCCAGGCGTACATTTTGATCACCTGAATGCCCGATATGATCTCGTTCATCATGCGGACACGCTCATCCGTACGCAATGCCGTTTTAAGACGCAGTGTAGAGGTCTTCTTGCCCAGATAAGCTTGGAGCGGTATGAACAGCAACATTATAGCGACACCAAAGAAAGCCGAAACGCCAATCTGCAGGGAAAGGAATTGTATAAATAATTAATTAATTAGAATTAATTAGTATGTGAAAGGAATAAAGATCGTTCGCACTCACCTCTCTGTACATGAGCCAAGTGACCACAGCGATTTCCACCGGGCCCAGCCATAAATAATGGACGTGTATGACAGAGACATCCAGGCGGCCGACATCGTTCGATATAAGATTAACCACCTGACCGGTCGTTGTGGCGCCCAGCGCTGTGCGACTGAGACGCAACGCCTTGCGATAAATCAGGCTGCACATTGCAACGCGCACCTTCATGCCCGTGTGGAACATGCCGAGCATGTAGGGGTGCATAAATATAACATTGAATGCGCTGCACAAGATAACGCCCACGGCATACAGGATGGCTGTGCTCTGGTCATCGCTATTCTGATTGTCGGGGTCCGCGTAGAAGGCCACCAGGCCGCCCAAGCACAGAGGCTGTGTCACGCTGCAGACAAACAGATTACAATAATTGCGATCATAAATAACGACTGGCTGTGTGTTTTGTGTTTTTAGCTTACCGGAAACCCATCTCGACTATAAACAAAACGAAGCCGAGTATGCCAAAGTTCCAGCCAAAGACGCCCATTGTTGCCTTAAACAAGCTGGGCGTTTTCTTCTTCTTGCGCTTCTCCTCCACCTCCTTCTCCCAGGCATCGCTCAGCTTCTTGCCGAGTTTATCTTGAATTTACAAAATATAATATTTTGTTATAAATCTACCTCCAGATATAGGAATACTAGCGGGTATAACCCGGCCTTGCCCGTGGCAAGTATGTTATAAAGTCAATGTTCTCAAAAAAATTTGAAACGATTTTGAAACTGATCGGACGGTAAACAAACAACTTTCATACAAACGTTTCCCGCCAATTTACCACTGTTGCGAGTGGAATTTCCCAAATTGCTGAAACACGTAGAGCTTTGAAAATAAGTTTGAAGCAAATCGGACACAACTTAAAACTTCGCCCTAAAAAATCTTTAGATCTTTAATTTTTTCTATAGATCTTTGGAAACGAATTTGAGCGCGAACCGTCACCCGCCAAATCTTTGAGGAACGGATTTATCGAAAAGTGTGAAACACCCCTCAAATGAATTTGAACAAAGATCTTTGAAAATAAGTTTGAGGCCGATCGGAAGTTACATACAAACGTTTTTCGCGATTTTTCCACACTTGCGGGTGGAATTTCCCGAAACCCCGTCTTAACGTGCACCTACATCACATAAGGTAACTAAAGTGAAAATTTCAGCTTCCTAGCTCTTACGGTTTGGGCTGTGCGTTGATCACCAATCAGTCAATCAGTCAGTCAGTCAGTCAGTCAGTCAGTCAGTCAGTCAGTCAGTCAGTCAGTCAGTCAGTCAGTCAGTCAGTCAGTCAGTCAGTCAGTCAGTCAGTCAGTCAGTCAGTCAGTCAGTCAGTCAGTCAGTCAGTCAGTCAGTCAGTCAGTCAGTCAGTCAGGACAAACAGTTGTATATATAGAGATACACATAATTTAATAAATAATTTATATATTTACTTAATTCTGCTTTTGCAATCGAACAAGGAATTTAAATATAGTTATATATTGATGGGCAAAATCAGTTTCACAAATCGAAATTTACGGCGAAAGTTAGTTCGAACCGTGATCCAAATTATTAAAAATTTCCCTCTTGTTAGGTTTTCAGTCCTGTTTAGTGCTTCGGTTCAAGGTTTGAGCACATGCCACGCCTCAGTTGGACTTGAAGCCCCCTTTCTATACGTAATACTCTTAAATGTCAGCCGATTATCGTGATATAATGGATTGTGTAGACATGACTTAGAGGCAATACGAATATTACAAGCACATGGAGTCGAGGGTTTTACGATTCTATTCCATGATTTTTATCGCTTATAAAAAGGCATATCAAGCTTTTGGTTTCTATTGTCTCTGCTTTAGCTGTGAGTTATGGCCATCGCGCTGTGGCGTAAAAACCCCGAGTTGCAATCAGCTGTCCCTTGGGCTTATCAGTTAACAGTTGGCCCGGCTAATCCCACCTGGTCAGAGCGGGTTGCATGCGCCACCATATATACCCGCCCGATCAATAGTCATGGGCACTTCCGCAGTGGTTTTGGCCAATCTTGAGTGGCTACGAAATGCATATACTAGATAAGCATTTGACAAAAGGTAAGAAAGAAAAATTAGTTATTTGCCATTGTTTACCTAAATAAATATTTGCCCAAGACGTATGCCCGATTAGATTGCCAGCGAGCCCACTTAATGTGTCGGCTCAGTGTGTCTCTATGGGCTCATATGTATATTTGAAGTAAATAAGCGCCCGATATTTAATTTAATATCTCATATATCATTTGCGGTCAAAAGGGAAGCTCATTAATTGCGGCAATGCTGCTTTTCAAAGTTATCAAATGGCTATCAACCGAAAAATTTGGCACTAACGGCCACTGATTTTATATTTTTATTAATGGTCCCATAAAAATCAAAGTTCAATTTATTCCTTTTGACTCAATTCGGCTGATAAGCGCGTTTAACTGAAAAACGTATAATATGGTTTTTATAGGCGTCAATTGAATGACAGAAATCTTATCAAAGGATGAGTTCGCATATGATTTATGAAAAATTGTCCAAGATAATGCTCAAATAGATGATAATGGTTAGCTGCAATAGGAAGTGCGGATAGAAGGCATATATAATTATTTCGAAGGGCCTTCGCAATTGTCTGCCATGGTTAACGAAATTCTAAAAAAAAACAAAAAAAAAACAAAGCCTGCTTATCCATCTGTCTGGCTTCCTGGCACATGGTCTATTCTATCTAATCGTTGGACAAAAATATAACAAAAATAAAACTGTACTTTTAAGTGGGTTGCGAGTGGCGTCGTTTCGTTTCTGCCACTTCAAATCACACGTTAAATATGTCTCAACAGTTGATATTTCCATAGATAATACCATAGCCATATAATTTGTCATACTATTCTATTGTCATATATACATATAAAAAAAAAAAAACCAACTGACAATTGTTTGCCATCACGTAAGGAAGTCAACTGGTATTTAAGATAACTATTTTTTGTTGAGGCTAATCTAGAGTCTAGTTGTACATTGAACCCCATTGCAGCCTGCCGCCTTCTAGAAAACTAGAGCTAGATGTGCAGCTGCCTGTTTCAATGACTCATTTGCTAACTCTGGAAACTCTTTAACTCCGATTGTTGATTAATTTTAGTTTATGCAACAATTGAGTTCAATTTGAATGAATATTGGAAAAGGCATATTTCTACCTGAGTTCAGCTCATTTGGAATGCAGAGCGCAGCTTGGGCGCTGTTTGTACTCGATTTTGATTGACGGCAACATTTTCGGGACAACTTGTTGGGACAATCCAAAAGAGTTTCACCAAGAACTTGATCAAGATACATATATGGGCGTGATTCATGCACTTACCGGACTTGTGTTCGTTTAAAGCCCTATAGAGATCATTTTCATCTAGAGTCTTTTTGCGTCCCTTGAAAAATGTGGGCATAGTATAGCTGAGAAAATAAAAAAATAGTTGTAATAAAAACATAAATATTATCACTTATTGTTAGACATCATTATTATTAATTGGAGTACGGCGAACTTACCAAAACATCAGCGATGACAACGGATTCGCCTTCTCGCGCGGATTCACCGGCAGCTGATCTACGTTAACGGACTGCATTTTGGCTAAATTCTGTCAATCCAGTTCGTTTTAATCTCTCAATAACTTGTCATTTGTTATGTGTTGTTTTGTTTTTTTATCAGTCAACCACAAGCGCCGCTATAATATAGATGATAATGGTGTATATGTTAATTTAACATGGATTTTAGTTCATCAAATACAAATAATTCTCTCATAGTTGGGCCTATCTGCCTATTGTTAGCTGATAAGATTTTAGTTATTTTTTATGGCCGAATTGGTGGTGATTTCCTTAAGTGGTATTCCACAGGCTGTCAACGTCATACCATAGCACTTATCTTGATTCAAGGAGGCTGAACCATGCCTAATTACTAGATATGCGATTATAAAGTCTGTGTGCATAATCATAATCATGGTGAGTTGGCAAAATTTAAGTATTTATAATTTGTTTGTATTTTGTAACATTTGTTGAAGGTTCAATTTTAAGAATTTTTTATTTTTGACTTTATGGTCGAATGCGTCGGCATTGTGAGCACAAATTTAAGGGATCGTACCCCTGTGAAGATGGATATCAACTTATAGAAATAAGTTACAAAATATACTCTTAAAGAAGTCCAGGGATTTGAGCCCGATTTTCTTTGGTTGTTCGTTGTTGTAAGGAATATTTCTCACTTGGCGTTCAGCTTTTAATCACATTGAGCTTTGTGTTCAATTATATTCTTTTTATAACTTATAACACCTTTATCAATATTAAGCAAGAGCACGCAATACACTATCTCGTTTATAAAGTATTTTTATAGAGGTGACTTCACACCTAACACGGACAAGGACGAAACGCGTTGGACTCACAAAATGGGGCACTGGAACCGGCTGGCAGCGTCGCGTCCAGATCTGTAACTGGGCTCTTGGCCAGATGTGAGACGCACTTTTATAGCCAGCGATTAGTCCAGTAACAAACGGCTTTATCAGCGCTCGACTTCGTATTCGTGATGTGATCGAGGCAGTGTCTGCTGATAAGAGTGCGAACTGACAAATTCTGAATGAAAATGAACGTTAGCCAAAATGTTGATAAAACGAGCTATCAGAATGCAAAATGCTGCAACTGCTACGTTGTTGACAGTTATCAGAGGCTTCCCCGACAGAAGCTCAAATTTCACTTGTGTGTTTTTTATTGAATTTTCGTAGCAGCGCGCCTTTGTAAATAAACAAACATCGTTTTTGGGCTAACAAATGCCAAAGCTTTGCTTATCTATATATGCAGCTTGTTTTCTTACCAATAGCTTTATTGTTTAGCAATTTTCAGTGGCGCAAATAAATCAGCAAAACATAAATGCAAAAAATTAAATTGAGAAAATTAAACGACAAAATAAACACACAAACTTTACTGCAAATCAACAAAGAATTATGGTGCCAATTGATACACGTGCAATTCACTTATAAACACTAGTTCTTATTGTCGCTTTTAAATAAATGGTGCGCTATGTGCTTGTTTTTATTAAGAATTAAATGTAATTGTGCAATAAAAAAAACGTTAAACAAGTTTGTGCGAGCTCGAAAATGGGTCTGCTTCTTCCTTGATTTTGAGCGGCGCAGGCGCAGTATTATCGATAATTTTTCTGTGTAATGGTATCCTTATGCGGTCTGATTTAATTTAAACGTACGTACATATTAAATTCTGATTTTATAAAATTTATGCTTGTATTTTCATATACTTTGTCGAATGCAAGCTATGAACAAGCACAGATAAATTTAAAAATTAACATTGCGCGCATTTTTATTAACGCTAACTTAACAGTATGTTAACGTAGTGTGCGACTTCTGTTACATAGCATACAATATCGATAACTGAACTACATTTATCGAACACATTCGCATAAAAAGCGGGTTTATTTCACACACAATAATTGATAATACCCCGCTATCAATTAATTAAATAATTAAGGAAAATTTTTAACTTTATAGCTTAGTAAAATGCAGTCTGTTTTAAGCAGAAGCTTTAATATTGGTAAGTTGGTCCCGTCTGGACTTTGTCTTGTTGAATTGTATATACTATGTTAATACGATCATCCTTAACACCTTATTAGCCCGTCGGACCTTGCATGTGCGGCAAATTGCATCGCTCTCCGCTTTGTCGGAGACGCACCAAATGCTCCAAAAAACTTGCCGTGACTTCGCGAACTCTGAACTGGCAGGTCAAAATGCGGCTAAATTCGATCGCGAACATCTTTATCCTGCGAAACAGATCAAGCAAATGGGCGAACTGGGCCTCATGGCGGTGGCTGTACCTGAGGAGCTCGGCGGGACCGGGTTGGATTATCTGGCCTATGCCATTGCCATGGAGGAGATCTCACGTGGTTGCGCCTCGGCGGGCGTTATTATGTCTGTGAATAATTCACTGTATTTGGGCCCATTGTTGAGCTTCGCAAATGCTGCCCAAAAAGCTACCTACATCACACCCTATACGACGGGCGAGCGTGTGGGTTGCTTTGCGCTTTCCGAGCCGGGCAACGGCTCCGATGCGGGCGCTGCGTCAACTGTTGCCACCGAAAAGGGCGATCATTATGTGCTGAACGGAACCAAGGCGTGGATAACAAATGCATTTGAGGCAGAGGCAGCTGTCGTCTTTGCCACCACCAACAAGCAGCTGAAGCACAAGGGCATCTCCGCATTTATAGTTCCCAAGGGCATTAAAGGTTTCTCACTTGGCAAAAAGGAGGACAAGTTGGGTATACGTGGCTCCTCCACCTGTCAGCTCATATTCGAAGACTGCGAAATACCCAAGGAGAGTCTGCTGGGCGAAACGGGTTTTGGCTTTAAGATTGCCATGCAAACGTTGGACGCTGGACGTATTGGCATCGCCAGCCAGGCCCTGGGCATTGCACAGGCCTCACTGGAACTGGCCGTTGACTATGCGCAGAAGCGTCAGGCCTTCGGCAAGCCCATTTCCAAGCTGCAAGCCATACAGCAAAAGATTGCCGACATGTCCCTGGCTGTGGAATCAGCCCGTCTGTTGACCTGGCGCGCCGCCTGGCTTAAGGATAACAAGCTGTCCTATACGAAAGAGGCGGCAATGGCCAAGTTGGCTGCCTCCGAGGCGGCTACACTGTGCGCCCATCAGTGCATCCAAGTCTTGGGCGGCATGGGCTATGTAACTGATATGGCAGCGGAGCGACACTATCGAGATGCGCGCATAACCGAAATATACGAAGGCACCTCAGAGATTCAACGCCTGGTCGTGGCGGGCTCAATACTCAAGGAGTACGCTAATTAATACTGGCAATTCCTTTTTTTAAAGCTATTTTTAAGCACAAAGTCTAAATGCAATAAAGTCTCGAGTCGACTAAAATGTACCCTTCTTTTTATAGTTATTCCAAAGTGTTCCAAAGGGCATGCAACAAGTGTAGGATCACAAAAGTTCTTGCTTATCATAATTGAATCTTAAAGCTAGCCTTAATATTGCTTTGAAATTGTAAGAAGATTAAGCTTATCTTGTAATAATGCACTAACAAGGTCAATTTTACCAGCAATTTAAACAAAATTATATGGTTTTTAATTACATTCACTAACCGCGTAAAGAGCACTGTTAAGTTGTTCTGCTATTAACATAGTGGTATTTTTCTCCGTTCACATTAATTATAAGTATTTGCACGATCGTCGCATCTGGTCACACTGGTGCCTATTTTACAGCGGCGTCAACATCGACTCTGCGCACATTTCAACAAAATTTCGTATTTATTGCTAGTTGTACGTTATAAAACATTTAGCACAGTGCAATTACAACAAGTGTGTGGTAATGAGGCTGTTTACGATTTGCACAAACGCGCACAACAAACCGAACGCATGTTAGCAACTATATATGAACTGTGTTTTCCGTCCCCCCTCCGACACACACACACACACACACACCCAGGCGTCGTGCGCCAGGAATAGCCCAATAGGCCAACAACAGCAACAGCAGCGCTATGGATGTTGTTTGTGTAATTGATACTGTTGTGGGCGATCATCTGGAGGATCGTCTCTGTGCCTTAGAGGAGATCAAGCAGGCCGTGCAATCAGCAGGAGCCAATTTTCAGCGTGTACAGGTGCGTTGGCGGTTAAAAAGAAAAACGAAAACTACAACAAAAAATCGTTATACAATAATATATTGGCAACATTTGATTTGCAGTTCGAGCGCTTGGATTATGGCGAGACGAATGTGCAGGAAACCTTCTATAATGCCGATGTTGCCGTTATAGATTTAAGCATATTAACACAACAGCGTCCGCTATCCTATCATTATGGGGTGCGCGAAAGTTTCGGCATGAAGGAAAACATCTTAATCTACAACGATTTGGAGTCCAAACAGACGCTCAGCTTAAGGGTATGTCTAAAGAAAATGTGTACTGACAAACAGGTGTGCGAGCAGCTTGATTAGAAAAGATGTTGGCAAATGCAGGGCAACAACAAAACACACAGCATAATCGACGTGTTCTGCCGATAAGATAAATGACCAAGCAATAAGCATTTGCTTTATGTTTTTAAAACAGCGCCCAGCAGCAGACGCAGCAGCCACTCAAGTTGTTGTTGCTGTTTTTAGTTTTTTGTTGTGCTTCCGTTCTGTGAAACAAAAAAGGTGTTATTTTTGTTTTGGCCGCCGCAGCACGAAAAGCTAACACAATAAAACAAAACAACAACAAATGCACGGACGCCAACGCAAAACACAAAACAACACGCACGGCGTCGCGGGCACACATACAAACACGCTCACACATATATATAAACATGCACGCTATAAACAAACGCAGCGCCTGCATGCACTTACACCGGGCTCCAAAAAAACATGTCTGGCTCACATATAGTTCCACATACTGTAGCATTTCTAAAAACGTATCCAACTTAGCTTACGCCGCTTATACAGCGCCGCCCCGAAAACTAATCTATTTATATATTCGCTCAAGCGTCTGTCATAATATGTTCAATTATGTTTGTCAGAGGGCTCCAAATTTCTGTCTACGCCAAATGCACTTAACTCTGCCGGTCATAAAAACAAGTCCGACATTGTGTGTGTCTCTAATGCCTTAACTCTCTTGTATTACAGCTCTCTTGTGCCAACTACTTGTTCCTCAGCTATAAGCGCAATGCTGAGACCAACTCCTGCCACTTAACACATCAGGCCAGCAACAAGGAGCCACCCGCAGATGGACGCGTGCCCACCACATTACAGTCCCGTCTCAAGCGCAAATTGCAAGATGTTGAAATACAATCAAAGTACGTATTTGCCAGACATTCATTATTATTGAAATTACATTAGTATTTACTTGATCCCAATTGCCAACCATAGGGCACATATGCGCGAGAAATTTCTCAGTGATATGCGAGCGGCGCGAGACGCTTACGCGCCCAGCGATGATAAGTTAAAGAGTATTCTACATGGGGTAAGATTAATGCAAATATTTATCTGTACATGTGTGTACACATATATTTAATTACTATTGCAAAGCTTGAATACATAAATCGATGATTAATATCCAGGTTTCAAGAATTTGGTATTAGTTAAGGTGCAGTACGGGTTAAATTTTAAAAATACTTCAATCTTTTGTGGCGTGTATATTGTATGATTATTTTTTCCGGTTATCAACTTTAATATATCCTAGCTAATTAATTAATACTCCCGCATTTCAGATGCGTAAACGCCTGGACGATCCACACGTGCTGTCCGGCGAGGTATTGCACAGTTTTATGTGCTCGCTGCGGGATGTGCAGGATTACGATGCGATGGTGCGTCTAGTGAATGACTTAAAGAACATACCAAACACACGCAAATATGTGGAAACGGACAACATGAGTTTTTTGTATGCATTCGCGTTGAATCGACGTAATCGGCCGGGGGATCGCGAAAAAGCACTAGAATCATCACTCAAAGCACTCGAAAAGATGGAGAATCCATTTCCGGATATGTTGTGCCTATGCGGACGCATCTACAAGGACATGTTTGTGGAGTCGGACTGTACGGATACAAAAAGCCTGGAGAATGCCATCAAATGGTATCGCCAGAGCTTTGAGGTGCAGCCAAATGAATATGCGGGCATCAACTTGGCCACCCTGCTGGTAATCGAAGGCAAGGAGTTCAGCAATACCGTCGAGCTGCAACATATTGGCATGACGCTCAACAATCTCATTGGCAAAAAGGGCAGCTTGTCAACGCTCAGCGGCTACTGGGATGTGGCGACATTCTTTGAGATCTCCGTGCTGGCCGAGGACTATGCCAAGGCCAT